AGTCATCATATTTCTACTCGCGTCATGGGAACTTTTGGGTACTTTGAATTTCACTCAACTACTTAGTACATCATAATCTCACATTGCCAAATTATTACCGTGAACTCATGTTCAGATATTATCCTTTTCAGTGTTCACATTCTATTAAAGGTTTTTTTTAATCTAAAAATTCAGAGAATTTCCTCGGCCAAATAACTCCTGAACCCATTGTGTCACCATGACAATGGGTTCAGGAGTGTTAATCCTGTTCAGTGTTCACATTCTATTAATTTTTTAATCTAAAAATTCAGAGAATTTCCTTGGCCAAATAACTCCTGAGCCCATTGTCACCATGACTGACAGTTTGTACTTTTTGCTGCCATTTCTGTGTGTCAGATTTTGATGGAATGTGAATTTTATGGATTTGCAGGTATGTAGCCCCGGAATATGCAATGACGGGTCATTTACTCGTGAAGAGTGATGTTTATAGCTATGGGGTTGTGCTACTTGAGCTTCTGTCTGGAAGAAAACCTGTGGATATGTCCCAACCTGAGGGACAAGAAAATCTTGTAACCTGGGCACGACCTCTACTGACCAGTAGAGAAGGTTTGGAGCAGTTGGTGGATCCTTCCTTGGCTGGAAGTTATGACTTTGATGACATGGCAAAGGTGGCAGCCATTGCTTCCATGTGTGTTCACCCTGAGGTGACTCACCGACCATTTATGGGTGAAGTTGTGCAGGCTCTGAAATTGATATATAACGACACAGATGAAACCTGTGGGGATTGCTGTAGCCAAAAGGAGTCTTCTGTTCAGGATTCTGACTTTAAAGGTGAGTTTGCACCATCAGATAGCAGTTGGTGGAATGCCGGCGCACTCACTCCGCGATTAAGATATGGACAGGCCTCTTCTTTCATAACAATGGAGTACAGTTCTGGTCCACTTGAAGATGTGGAAAACAGAGCGTTTTCAGCTTCAAGTTTGGGCGGGGATGGCGTGTCTTTACCAATTAGGCATGGGAATAGATCAGGCCCTTTACGAACAGTCCGAAGTAAAGCAAGCTTTTATAGGTTAAGAGGAAGTATGAGTGAACACGGGGGACTCCTTTCTAGGCATATTTGGAACGAAGGATCTTGGGCTTGAGGTTTCTTTACTGAGTGTTTTTTTTTTTTTTTAACTGTACAGTTAAGGCCCTGGGTTTTTCAGTAAGCGGTCAATTGGCCTCTGAGATTCTTGCGGTTTTCATGTTTGGCCCTTGGCTTCTAATTTTGAAGGTCTTGATTCATTAGTATACGAAGTTGGAGGTGTAAGTTGCATACTCCTTGTATTATATATCCGCTAAAAAATTATTCTTGGATCCATGCTGTATCAACCGACTGTTTCATCCTAAGTTGTAGGGGTGGGATAATCCGGTTAACCGAAACGGATAGGGTAAATCGGAAACCGAACCGGTTATTCGGCTTAGGCAAAAATGTAAACTAAAACCGGACCGGTTTATAGAATAAATTGAATTTAAACCAAACCGAATATTCAGTTCGGTTATCCGATTAACCAATTTTCAAATCGGTTTTTAAATTCATGTGAACAAAATTGATAGGAAAATGGTCATCATGATCCTAGTAAAGAAACCTTAGCGAAATCGAACACCGATGGCAAAAGCACCTCAAATTTCATAGAGATAATATAAAAAAAGGGTCTTGCTAAACCAAAATTACCTTTTGCTCAACATAATATGGTGATAAAGTATTAGATTTATCATTTATCACAACCAAACTAAGCAAAGTGTTTGAATAATTCATAATATTAGAGCCTCTAAAAATTAGAAGCATCCATCAAAATATTCATCAGATCTCTTGTTGAATTAGAATATGCATTAGGTTGCTAAATTGGCGGTAGACTATTGATCGTGGAGCAAGCGAGCAACTGAGGATTGAAGATTTGAACGGCGGTGGAAACTGGAGTCGTGGTTGACTATTGTCGCTATTCCTGGTTCAAGGAACTGCAGCGTAGCAGTTGTGGTTGTTGCCGGGTGAGTGAGTGGTTGTGGTGGTCACTGGAGGTGTGTCGGCGAAATGGCGTTGGCGATATTGCAGATGGATGGGTTTGGAGTTGCAATTTGGTGGTGGGTGTGGGTGGCACTGGGGAAGATGGAGTCTGGAGAGTGGAGTGGAGTGGAGGCGGAGAAGGGAATGAAAAGTGAAGATGGGGTTTGAAGAGTGGAGTGGAGGTGGAGAAGAGAATAAGAGATATTGAAAAAAAAAGGGCAAAAAAATTAAAACATATTTTATTTATGTACATAGGGTGAAACCGACTTGGGAAATCTCCCAAACCAAAAACCGAACTGGTTTTTTGGTTTTTAATTTTTTACATACTGAAAGGGTTTACAGAAAAACTTAATTTTCGGTTCGGTTTTCGGATTATTTCTTCCACCACTACTAAGCTGGAAATTGTTTCAATCCTTTCGAAATGGAAACCATTCTCTCTTTATATTATGTGTTAGGGAACGCATGAAAAATGTCTACCCAATTGCTTACATTTCTAATTTTTATTTGAAAAATTTTGTAAGTCCTGGTCAAAGATTATCTCAGATGATACATATCTCGAATCTCTTTTAATGAGAATGAGTAATGACCACCCGAGATTGTAAAACCTAATATAATTTGTTACGAGGATAGCCCAAAAAGGAAAAGTCTTGACTTGACTTGACTTGGAAATTGGAAGTCTTGAAAGGGGTCCAGCTTCCCTAATATATCTTCTCTCATATAATCTGTTTACCCCGACTTACGCGCGTCGCTGAACACCAAACCAGAAACATGTTCTCCCTGTCAATGTCAACATGTTCTGATGCCATTTCATTTTCTTCCCACTTTCTCTCCAACTCTTCAACATCTTTACTACCTAGGCGCTCCACTATCTCTCTCTTTGTTTCAACGGCTAACACTTCCAGGTTCTCACTCTCTCGTATTTGTCTGTACTCAATTTTCCACAGCGCTTTATCATTATTACTTAAATAATCAATGACTATGAGGTCAATCGGTGGCCTCTTGAAGTTTTTATTTGACTTAGTTCACTGATTTTGTTTCTTCATCATTCAACAAGACACTTTCTAAATAAAATTTCACAAAATTCATGGACGTTTATGTTTTATATTGAATCTCAGAGATCTTTCTCTTCCCTATTTTTATTTTTTAATTTCAANATGATAGGGATCACATTAAAATCCTTGATTATAGGGATCACTTCTATCCTAATTTAGATTGATCACCTACCTAGTTTAGAATACTACAAGTGTATATAAATATGTATCCTTTTAAGCTAATAAGGAGTAGGGTGAATATTCATTACGTTTATTTTACACCATCAAAAGCTCTTCTCCTAGCTCACGCAGAGGGGCTGATAACTCTTCAAACTGTTCGCGAAACTCAGTCACCATACCAGTTTGCCTTAACGCCACCAGTGCTTCGTAGGCAGACCCCTTATACGATGGTCTGAACCTCTCTACCAGTGCTGCTTTGAAGGAACTCCAGGAAGTTATCGGTGACCTAGACTCGACCCACTGGTACCAGTTCAAGGCTCGTCCCTCCATACACACAGCCGCTGCCCGAACCTTCTCCTCTTCTTCATACTTATTGACCGCAAAGTACCGATCAGCCCTGAAAGTCCATCCAAATGGATCATCCCCGTTAAATATTGGCAGTTCCAGTTTACGAATTTTCTTGTCCTCCTCGTTGTCGCTGCTGTTTTTCGGTTTAGATTCTTTCTCTGGGCTGGAGTTGTGTCCCTCCGATGATGAGAATGATTTCTCCTTACTTCGTTTTTCATCCCTTTCCTCCCTGAGATGCATTAGCTCGCGCATCTCCGTTAAGTACTCCCTCACACTTCCCAAGTCAGTTTTCATCGTATCCACGCTTTCCTTTACTGTCTTCATTTCTTTTTTTACGTTTTCCATTCTGTTCTCCATCTTGGGTTTGACCATTCCCCCAAAACTTGGCTCTAATACCAAATTGATGAGAACACCAGTCCAAACACAACAGTACTCTGTAATATCAACTCAGAAACACACTCTGTCACTGCAACCACTGATTTATATATATATATATATATGGAATTAAAATGGACAACTCTGCAAGCAGCAGGTGATAACAACAATGGCAAAAACGATAACAGAAGATAAAAAGATTGCTAGCACTTCGAGGGCCTAGCACCTCCCAATATTTTCCAGATTTCCTCCCTACCTACAGCTAGCTACTGCTTTCTTTATATATAACTGAATTCACACTTTCCGCACTCCCTTACGTGGAGATTCCCCTTAACTAATTCTAATCTGAATTCCCCTTCCTGCCCTCGTCCACTGAAATGACCAGGTTGCCCATTTTCTTCTTCTTTTTGTACAATTTGGTTATAGGAGTATCAGTCTCTAAATTCCCACTTTCTTTCAATATTTTACGGATCCTACTGGACACATCAAGATGTAGTCTGTCCTTTTCTTCTTCCTTGAAATTGGCAATAGGCTTCAACTGATGTTTCAGGCCTGAGCCGCTAAGCACAACTGCTGCTTCAAGGTCTGCAAGCAGTAACTTTGTGCTAAAGAGCTGAAAATTAGAACTATTTTCTGTCAGCCCTTATGGTACCATGTTTGAGCTGGAGCAGCTTTGGGTAATTATTTAGTTGACATCATTGGTATATATAGGTTCTTTATTAATCTCTACTTTCAACAACCTTTGTTGATAATCTGTGGTTAATGATATGTCCTGAATGACAAGTTACTGAAATACTAGCAGTAAGTTCTCCTTAAAGGTCGTTCACATGGCTCTTACTCTGAAGCTTACTGTTATATTATATTTTCCTAAACTATTTCTTCCACTATGCTTGCCCATTGCTTTTCCTTCTGATTGGCATACAATTTGAATTTGACATGCTATATATAGCCTGTAAAATCAAGTATGGTATACTCCTGTTCATGAACTGAATTTGTTAGAATGGTTGCTTGAGTGTTACAGTTTACATGCAAACTTTTTGATAATGGTTGATATAGTTCTTCCTGATTTTCATTGTTGAAGAAAAAAATTATATTGACTAATAGTAAGTAGCATTTATTGGATTCTTCCAGTACAGGCTGCTCGCAAAAACATACCTACTTTAGTTGATGTGGAAATGGAAGGGGAAGGGTTTGCTGATCTTCTAAAATTGGCTGATTATGCTGTATGCTCAGAAAAATTTCCTCAGGCAAGTTTGTTGTTTACTGAACTACTGATGGTTGAGTTTTCGCGTGAATAAGAAATGTTGAAATCCAAAATCACCTTATTTATTGCATATATTTAGAATATACAGCATTGATGATTCCCCTATCAATCCCCTTTCTTGTTCCTCTTTATCAAGACTTATGATGTCTTTTTTAATTTTCCAATCAATTCCATCTTTTTCCTTCTCTAGTCTAATTTTTCTCTACAAAATGGGGGTGGCCATCTCCCATCTCTTAAACCCTCCCAAACCCTTGTTATGGTTATACTAGATTAGATTTGAGGTCTTTGGTATGCGAAAAGATTAACCAGCTAATTAGTGGACGTCTTGACTTTCCGTCAATTCTTTTCTTCATTGTTCATCATTTTGCTTCATCCCAAGATATCTGTCCTTCTTTTCTGTTCCTCTATCTAACCAATCTAATTTTTTTTTTTTCTCTTTTTCACTTAAAATTATTCTCTTTAAATATATAATTTGCCACTATTTTCATCCATAGGCAGAACTTACACATGGGATTTATATGTAATGATGCTTTGATTCTAATGTTCTGCAACATGAAACTTGTACCAGCATCCATTAAATTACTGTAATATTAAACTTTGAACAAAGTGTTTTGTAATTCCTTTTGCGATAAATGCTTCAAGTCCTGGTTTTCTATCCCGACTCTGGTAGGCCATGAAAACTACAGAGAACTGGAACCGGATTTTTTGTGCTTCAGTCAGTTATTTGATGTTGCTGTTATTTTTTTTTTAGTAATAATTCATGTGGTTTACGTTGTGATTTCTTCATGTGACAGGCATGGACAGAGGCATCATCTATGCCAAGTGCACTTGTGTCCCTGCTTTTGAGATTGCCAAATTTGAAATTTGTCATTGTGACCTTGGGCGAAAATGGATGCATAATGCTTGAGAGAAGTGTAAATGGTGAGTATTCAATTACCCAATTTTTCCTGTTGGGGAGGAAGATCACCTGTACAGTTAGTGTTGGAACATGTCGCTTAGTGAACCACACAATCTTAGTGTACTTTGCAAAAAGAAATATATAGATTTTCATTGCCTACTGTTCCTGGCAGAGAATCCCGATCTAGAGGAAATTGATGTAGACAGCTTATTGGAAACCCTAGAACAGAGAAAGGAAGAGAGTGTAGCCTCCCCAACATGTGTATCATCGGTAATATACTTGTAACAATCTACAATATGGGATCACTTTCTCATTGCTGTATTTTTTTGGGCATATAATTCAAATCTGTAAGTTTGAGCTGCTGCCTACTACTACTGTGAACTTCTGTTGCTGCTGTGCATAAATTCCCCATTTAATTTCTGTTGTACTTTTGAACTACTAAATGAGGAAAAGGTTGAGTTGAGAATATACTGTTTGCTTCTTTTTACTTTTAATTCTCCCAGTTAGAGACGAAATTGAGGGCAAATGGGATAGGAACAATGTGCGGGAGATTATTTGTTGGAACAGCTGAGAAGATTCCACCTTCAGAACTTACTGATACCACTGGTGCAGGTGATGCATTTATTGGGGCAGTTCTTTATGGTAAGTTAACCATTGAAGCCAACTTATCTCAACAGCATTGCTATGTTTCCATGTTGTATTCTTCACAAACTCTACTGAAACTCATTTTGCATTCAATTGTAGATTTGCTTTAGATAATTATTTGATGTTCAGGAATAATTGTTATATGCATGTGCTTCCATAATTTTTATGCTTTTCTGCATCCAAATCCGAGGACTGAATTTCTGGAAGAAGAAATGTGATCAAAACAATCAGTTAATGAATTTATGTCAGTTAGAGTACAACTGTTATAATTGTGAAGGTATAAAGGTTTTCATGTTTGGTTTAATTCATAGAGGATAAACTATCTGAGGTCATAATTATCGTATAAGTGGTCACCTTCAAGTATTAGACACAGTTATCCATCATTCCTGGAACTTTTTGGGAACTTTGTTTCTAATGACAGGACAAATGATATAGTTGGTATTTGTACTTTGTTTTTGTAGCCATCTGCGCCAACATGCTACCAGAGAAAATGTTGCCATTCGCGGCCCAAGTGGTAAGTCTTTGATTTTGTCAATTTCTATTAACTGATAGAATTATACCAGTGAGTCAATGCAACATAAATTTGTTTCTAATGCGATGAGCTGATTGCAGGCAGCCGCCAGTTGTAGGGCTTTGGGGGCTCGAAGTGGTCTTCCACACAGGACAGATCCACGGTTGGCATCCTTTTTACAGTAGGATTTTGGATTAGTTATCAAGTCATTGGCATTGTAGAATTTCCAATCCCGACCATGATAACCAGTAGCTATCATAGTGTCACGTTCCGTTTGTAGTCCTCCATGCCCTGTACAGCCGTTGAGTTTTGGCTATCGTTATTGCTGTCTATGAACAGAGGAAGCGTGTTTGCTGCCATGAATGTTTTCTTTTTTAAATAAATTTTCTAATAAATGTAAAATGATAATTTACCCATAGTACTGTTAAAATCTTCATTTATATTTCTGAACTCTTAGTGGTTTGGATGAGAATCTCATGGCTATCGTTATTGCTGTCTGTGAACAGGGGAACAGTGAAGCTCATTAAGTGACGGAAGTTTAGTTTAAAGAATCAATAATGCTAGGGACATCGAAAAATCTGCACCGAAATTTTGTACCGGCTTACGTGTAATACATTTCTGATTTTTTTAACAATTTTTTCTAGTGAATGGCCGTCCATCAAATTTGGACAGCCGTTTACTCACATGGACGCCCGTCCATATTATATGGACGGGCGTCCATATACAAGGGACGGGCGTCCCCATGTACAGGAACGTCCGTCCATAATAAAATACAATAAAATTTTTTATAAACATTTGGGACGCCCATCCAAAACGTTTGGACGGGCGTCCAAAATAATAAAATAAATAAAAAAAAACTGCTCAACTTCTACACTTTCGCTTCTCTTCTTCTTCTTCTTTGTTTCTTCTTCTCTGATCATCTATTAACTGCCCACGGCTTTACTACTATCAGACTTTTAAGTAAATGCATGTAGATATGCATATGACCTATACATCTCCATACTCAATACTGATTAGATAGAATACATTATTATTATTAGCTCGACTTTGCCGCAGTTGCTGATCTTTTCTGCTCCTTGGACATGAAAGCACAAGTTTTTCGTGGAGGGAGTTCTTGTATCAATGGAAGGTGGCTCGTCCTCATCTGGATCACAAAGCTGTCTGTACAGGCCAAGCAGTTGAGTACTTTTGCTGTTGAGGGTGCTGGTATAGGCTTTGATATTGAGGTTCAGTGGCTTCTTCCTAAAATCTGGAAATATTCCTCTCAAAATTTCCATAGCGATGATTCAGTGTTGACAAAAGCTTTGCAAAGGATCCAAAGAAGCCTTCTTCTTGCTCTTCTGTTCATCCTCCGTAGGGATTAAAGGCGGCCTGACTGATTTCAGAGCCACTTAGAGAAAGCTAGTTTTTAGAAAAGAAAAAAGAAAAAAAAAAAAAAGGAAGAGTATGGCCGGTCATCCATCAGGGATGACGACCGTCCAAACATAAGGGACGGGCGTCCATTCATATGACGTCCGCCAAATGTAATGGACGGCCGTCCAAATTTATGGACGGCCGTCCTAAGTTTATAAATTTTTTTTTATTGTATTTTAATGAAGGACGGCGTCCTTTACATGGGGACGCCCGTCCCTTGTATATGGACACCCGTCCATATAATATGGACGAGCGTCCATGTGAGTGAACGTGTCGTCCAAATTTGATGACGACCGTTCACTAGAAAAAAATTGTTAAAAAATAAGAAACGTGTTACACGTAGGCCGGTACAAAATTTCGGTGCAGGTTTTTCGGTGTCCCTAGCATTATTTGTTAAGAATATAGTTTGATTATATTGATGGATATAAAAAAATTGAGCTTTTCTCTAATGGTTTCAATCTCTAACATATCACATATTTTTTTTATTTATTATTTTCATTTATTCTATATAATAAAATAAAGAAGAGGTTGAGATTTCCCCCATGCAATTATTATAAAGAATCAAGATCAGCTAAACGATTTCGTTTTGTTGTCCCACAGAATACGAATCCTTTCTTGAATCAGATGCTATATGCGATCTCAATTATTGGAGGGTTGTGTTTTTAAGTTGATTATCTTACCAATACTCAGTCAGCCATCCTAACAACCAAACCGTAAACATCACACCGAGTAAAAATGTTCCAAGATTCGGTCTTATCTGATGTGGTGGAGACGCGGCACTCGCTTTTCCAGTTTTCACACCAATTCCGGTTCGGTTGTACCAGCCGCATGCTTGGACTGACTCAGCCAAGTTTATGATTGTTCCACCAATGAAATTTCCAACCTCTCCTTTGGATCACATTCACATGTACCATAACCATTAAATTGTTACCCGTTCATACATCAAGTTCTAAAGTCTTCTCTTCACCAATTCTGTTATCTTTTTAACACGAAAGCAAAAAGATAATCCCACAGTGTACGTATTACTTTAATGCCATGTCATTTTCATTAACCTTTCTTTTTTCTTCTTCTTCAACCGCTCTATTTCCTCCTCGCCCTTCTATCTCTGTCTTCGCTTCAGCCACCAACACTTCCAGGTGAAAACTGAAAACCTCACTTACGCAGTTACGCTTGTGTTGTTCTTTTTAATTAAGTAATGATGACCCCCTGAAGTTTGACTTATTCACTAGTTTTATTTTGTTTTCTTATGACCTACAGACAAAAAAAGTTTCTTGTAGAATTCGTAAATACCATGTTCTTTCATTTCAAATGTCCGCATTTGTCCAATCTACTTTATGATTCTTCTAATCTCTTACGCAGGTTCAAAATGTCGTCAGATTCTCTACCTCCTCTCCCTGAAAACCGAATCGTCGTGCGTTTCTTTCTCTACATATGTGTATTTCGTACTTAAGTTTTATTTTTCTGTAAAAGCTAGGAATGAAGCGGTGGCGCGTGTTGTTAACAGGTAGGATGCGGTGGTGTCGGATTGGATTTTTTGGCCGCAGTGGCTTCTTACCCGAAGCCTGACGATAAAATCAGAAGTACAAGCTTGAAGGTATTTCCTCTCATATTACTTTGGGTCTTTGATGTAATATATAACGAGTGTTTTGGTTTCTTTAGGTTCAAGGTGGTGGAAAAGCAGGCAATGCTTTAACCTGCGCAGCTCGTTTGGGCTTAAATCCCAGGATAATTTCCAAGGTATTTTGTTTTGACTTTTGAAACACAACTCTGTATTCACAGCAGTTCTAATCTTCAGTGTCTTTACACTTTGTCTGTTTTTCTGTTGCAATTAATGTGACCAGGTTGCCGATGACCCACAAGGCAAGGGTATATTGGAGGAGTTTGAAGCTGATGGTGTCGATACTTCTTTTCTTGTGGTAACCTTCAGATTATGCACTTTCTATAATCTGCACAAAGCATTGTCTATTGCATTACGATTCTACTTAAACAAAATAACTACTCTTTAAAGTGCCTTAAAATAATAGATTTATTTAAATTAAATTATTCTTGTTAATTTATATTCTTATTTTCTTATATTCAGGTTTCTAAGGAGGGTAATTCACCATTTACCTATGTAATTGTCGACAACCAAACGTGAGAAACTTTGCTTAAACGCCTTGAAATTGAATCTTTCTGGAAATTATTAATTCTTAAACAGGGTTTCATTCAACTTTGTTTTGGAGGTTTATGGATTTCACCTAAGCAATTTTTCTTCATTAGATTGTTTTTGAGAATTACTTGTAGTTATGATTTACTTTGATTGAGTTCAGTGATATACCAAGGTTTTCTTTTAGAGATAAAATCATAGGAGCGGTTAATCATCCTATTAGTCTATTTTCACTACTGGAAACAAAAGGTTGTACACATTTGGAACCATGTTGAAATGTCTTCCTCATTTGGAAGAGGGAACTTCTTAGTGACACTGGAATGAACTTATTTTCTTTAAGTGCAAGCTCTAGAGGTCAATATAATAACAATATAAGATATCCCTAGCTCTTTGGGAAAGTCTTTCTGCTACCAGTCCCATTAGACTGTAGGTGATGCATAGGTTCATCTTATGCTGCACTGTATAATGACTGCTCCCAGTGCCACTGATCTAGTGTATGCTTGAGAATGCTGGCTGTGCTTTTGCATTGATATAATCTCAACAGAGTCAGAACACAACTTAACATATCACGATGAGTAACTTAACCTTGAATTAAGGAATTACAAATATCTAATAGGTTGTTTGGAAGTCACTTTTTCGAGTTAACTAATTAGTAATTATTTCAGGAAAACTCGAACTTGTATACACACTCCTGGATATCCTCCCATGCTACCAGATGATTTTCCACAATCAACTATGTCATCTGAATTGGATAGAGCAGGGATTGCTTATTTTGATGGAAGGTTGCCTGAAACTGCTATATTTATTGCACAAGAGGTAATCATTATCATGTTTAGTAATGTTAGTCTTCTACTTGTAATAAAGTGTACTACTGGCTGAAGTTCATGACAGTTAAGGGTGGTTTATTTATTTATGAGATATGAAATGGAACAAGAACAAGACCAATGTTTTGAAATGATTCTATGTTTTTGCCTTTTGATATAACAATGACCTAAGTTTGTCAGAATGACTGCATGAATTGTAGAATTTACATACAAACTTTCTGATTATGGGTAATGTTGTTCTTCCTGATTTACTTTGTACAAGAAATATGAATGCTAACTAATAGGAACTAAATAAGAGTTATTGGATTCTTCCAGCACAGGCTGCTCGCAGGAATATACCTATTTTAATTGATGCAGAAAGGAAAAGAGAAAGGTTGGATGATTTTCTGAAATTGACCAATTATGCTGTATGCTCAGCAAAATTTCCTCAGGCAAGTTTACTCTTTAATGAAATATTGTTGATGGTTGAGTTGGTCTGCCTGAATAAGAAATGTTAAAATCTGAAATCTACTTTAAGTGTTTCACTTATGAGATCATTCTTTCAAATCATTTCCTTTTTTTTTTTTTTTTTTAAGAAGAAACAAGAGAAGATCATTGATTGGAGAAATAATTCAAAAGAGTAAATAAACTTAATTATGGCCAATATTGACTTCGTGATTTACTCTGTTTCACTTATTTATTTTTCTTTTTTAAGTATTTCACTGCAACTTTCACTCATGGGCATAACCTGCTTGTGTTATCTTATATGTGCTGGTCCTCTGATTCCAATGTTACAATTTGCCATATGAAACAAATTTCCAACATACACCAACACCAGTAACACACCAATTAAATTCCACTCCTAGTTTTCTATATCTACTCCGTGTGGCAAGCAAACTACTCTTTAATGCATTATCTATCTGATGTAGCTGCTTGATTTTTGGTTTTAGAGATAATTTGCATGGAACACCTTGCAAACTTTTCATGTGACAGGTGTGGACGGAGGCGCCATCTGTTCCAAGTGCACTTGTTTCCATGCTTTTGAGATTGCCAAATTTAAAATTTGTCATCGTAACCTTGGGTGAAAATGGATGCATAATGCTTCAGAGAAGCAAAAATGGTGAGTATTTAATTGCCCAGTTTTTTTTTTCTGGTGTGGGGTATTTGTAAGCATAGTGTTGGAAACTATGCTAAAGGAACTATACTTAGTCTACTTATTTGCTTAAAAAAATGCACAGGTTTTCATTGTTACTGTTTCTGCAGAGGGTGCTGACTTGGAAGAAGTTGATGTAGAGAGCTTATTGGAATCCCTGAACCAGAGAAAGGATGAGAGTGTAGCCTTCCCAACATGCGTATCATCGGTAATATACTTCTAGCAAACTTCTGTATGTGATCCTTTCTTATTGCTTTATATTTTGGAGTAGAAACCCAGTACACTAAATTTTAGCTGCAGCCTTTGCAAGTGTGAACTACTGTGGACTAAATTTTCCTCTTAATTTCTCTTGTACTGGTAAAACAAGGAAAAACACTGAGCTTGGAATATATTTTTGTGTTTCTTTTTCCTTTAAATTCTTCCAGTTGGAGACAAAATTGAGAGCAGATGGGATAGGAACTGTAAGCGGGAGGTTATTTATTGGAACAGCCGAGAAAATTCCACCATCAGAACTCTCTGATACTACTGGTGCTGGGGATGCATTTATTGGGGCAATTCTTTATGGTAAGTTAACAATACCATCCAATATGTTAATTTACCTAAGATTCCAGTGTGTCCATATATTTTCTATCCTTTACAAACTTTTCCGTCACTTCTTTGCTTTATAGTGTCGTTTTACTTTAGATAACTGTTTAATCTTCACATTTAATTGTTATGCTTGTCTGCATCCAAGGACTGTATTCTGCTGAAAGATATGATGGATCATAGCAATCAGTTGATCTCACAATTTTTTCTTTTTAAATTTCTTTTGTTTCATACTAATTAGGATAGCACCATTATTTCCATGTAGGTGTAAAGGTTTGTATCTCAAAAATTGACTAAATTGTTTTGTGGTTTAATTCTCACAAGTTAAAACCATCTTTTGTAACTTTAATTCAACTGACCACTCCATCATCCCTAGAACTTGTTGGGGCTACTTTTACATAATCTTTTGATTCACGGGGACAAATTATACAAATTTGTATGTTATTTTTGTAGCCATCTGCGCCAACATGCCTCCAGAAAAAATGTTGCCATTTGCTGCTCAAGTGGTATGTAGACTTACTAAGCGGAACAGTGAAATTTATCCAAGATAATGAATGTAACATAAATTTGTCTTTGATTGCAGGCGGCTCTTGGCTGTAGGGCTCTGGGAGCTCGAACTGGTCTTCCACATAGATCACACCCACGGTTGGAATCTTTTTTTTAGTTGAATGTCTTAAATGGTTATCGCATCAAGCGTGGCATTCGATCACTGGATTGACCACTCACTCATACCTCTGCTTGTTGGCTATGTGAGACGAGCGTCCAAGATCCCTGGAAAAAGAAGGTTTAAATTCATTTAGTGCTCGTAGTATCATTGAATATTATTTTATAGTTTATAATTGCTCAAGTACTACAATTGTAATTCGATTTTTTTAATACAAATTCTTAGTTTTGGTTCAATATAATTCAATGGACTTCTAAAAAGTTAAGTATTTAAAGTGGGAATATAAAAGTGCATAAATGTAGTTACTTGTGTATTCTAAAACACCCTTAAGAAGAAATTTCTCTCTTTTCTGCAAGACTCCAACCTGTTAAACGTCCTAGATGCTTTATGATAATATTAATATTAATATTAATATTAATTTTACACCGGTTTCACAAAAAAAGTAATTACATTACAAAATATTAACGTTTATGAAAGAGTAATTACATCACATAAATTAACGGTTGATTAATTACTCAGCATTTGGCTGCCGTTAACATGAAACGTTCAAAAAATCTACCTAAGAAATAAGAGAACTTTGGCAATCACACATGTTACCATCGTTCAAGTTGGCTTTAATAATGGAATATGTTGTCATGTCATATACAGATTATCAAGAATATATAACTTTATGTGTCCCCTTTGACAAGTAGCCAGTATGTGATATTTTGTTGTTATTGTTGGGACAATCTGATTGACATATCCTTTATTGCTTCTTTTAGTTATATATTGTTAACAAACAGGGTGGCCATCAAATTGCTCACCTGATTTCTGAAGCAATAGCTGACTTGGGGCCCTTATGTTATATATCAATAAGGCAATAGACAATTCGTACACATATCAAAGCAGGGCCAATTGAGAAAGGAAGCCGACCTTCCTTACAGAACTATGCACACAACCAGACAACCATTTAGAAAATCGGGGAAGAGTCCGATTCCAATCACATTCATGAGGAAACTGAGACATAATTTAAGCTTTGGGATTCATTAAGATAAAAAGATTTGCCTGCATCTGTTACTCTCTACAGATTCATTCATCCAATAGACACTTTGTACACTTCATTTCATATTAGTTGTACACTAGAATAGGTCCTCTGACAAAGTGTAAGCCCAACCTACAAAACATAATTATTTTCAGCTTCTTTTGTAAAGCACCAGCTATACTTGGCTATACATGTGCCAGACCATTGAAAGAGGTTTCAAAATCAAATAAAAGCATACCTGCATCAACAAAATGTGCAGGCGTATATGCTTCCGGCACCTGCACTGCATGATTTTCTTGAAACCAGTCATCAAATTCATGGTCACTGTAATGAAATTTGGTACCTCCATTACAATGTGAATTTAACTCCTGGAAAGGTAATGGCTCGTTTTTAGACCCTGTTCTATGGAGATGACAATTTTCGTTTGGAGGTTGTTGATTGCTTCCACTGTCATTTAACCATGGGTCAAAATCAGAAAGATTTGGACCTATCATATTTTGCCTTTGATTGCCAAGCTCACCGCTAAGTAGGCCATCATTTGATTGAGAAATATGCTCTGCATATCCATGGGGTTGAGGAACAGGTTCACTGCTTGCATGAATTTCAGGAATAGGCTGGCTGTATATTTGCAGTTGAGGAATAGGTCTGTATATTGGTTGTTGAGACATAGGCTGGCTGTATGGTTGAGGTTCTGGAATTGTCTGACTGTATACTGGGGATTGGGAGGGCACTGTACTCACAAAGACACTTCCAGTGCCAGTCTGGGAGATGTTCTGATATGTACATGAATCCTGACTCATGCCGGGGACCCACTGCATGTTAATACCATCAGTAGTAGACAAGGCCGGTGGAACAGGAGCGCACGTAATTTGTGATGCATGAACGCCTCTGGTGTTGTTTGCAGAGCTATAGACAGATTGGTTCATTGTGGGGGCATCTCCAGCAATCCCGGGCCTTCTAAACATTCCCAAGTTGCCACCGTTAACACCTCTGTCCCTACGGATGACATTATTGCGTACCCTAAGCAATGGTGACTGTTGAGAAACTACGCGTGTCTGTAACCTGTTTTTGCCAAAAACTGGTCCTGATTGTCGGCTTCTACCCTGACTTATGATGTTTGGAATGCTCAACCTGTTTGAAGAAGGGCAAGCACGGACTATACCTGGCCTCGAGAGTTGATTCTGTGGTACACAATTGGATGCCAATTGAATAATATCACGAGGTGGAATTTGGTTAAGGTGTGGAAACGTTGTAGATAGAGAAGTTTCCGGAACTTTAACTGGTACAGGAGCATCTTTCTGAATCCTGAAATTTTTCCGCTGAGATTTCCAAAAATCTTCCTTCTCAGTAGCATGACAATGATCAATATCACAAACACCAGAACCCCAATGAGCACATGGAGCAACTGAGTCACAGACATAACAATGACACTGCATTTCAGCAAGAAGAGGGCAGAAATCAGCACCAAAAAATGTCAAACACTAGGTCTCTGCCAATATTTCAGTAGAAAAAGAAAACTAAAAAATTTACCTGGTCGCAATGCAATTCATGTGCAGTAGAACTGAAAGGAAATTTAGCACAAAGATGCCGTGGATGAGGGAAGTCTCTGCATGCAACCTATACAATGAAGACAGAACAACCATTTTTGTCAGAAATACGGTGCTACATCTCCCAATCAAAATTGTAATCAGGGAAGTTGATAAAGTGATGTGACTTAACAAGGTCATCAATGTGCAAAGAAGTAAAAAGAAATGGTTTAACATCAAGTGTAGATAAGCAGCATAAGCTGAATAGCCCAACAGCAAACTTACCTAAGGTACTCAGGCCCAAACAAGTCCATAGTTTGAGAAATCTCAAAGATGATTCTAATGTTCTTTAGAAATCCAGAATTTCTCTAGGAAATCATACTTCATATTGTAAATATACTTTCTTTCAAGTTTCAGGAGTTAGTCATCTTTTTGGGCTTTAGGACATTGATAGACTGTATCTAGAGAACAAAGAAAACTTCAAGGGAGGGGTTGAGTGCATATCCGTGACCCCAAAAAAAAAAAAATTGGTTCTTTTGCACATGCAGCATCTAGAGGGCAGGTATAAATCCTACAAGCATTTGAATAAATATTTACAAGGAACAAAAAGCCCACTTACTCTCAATGGACCATATGATCTAGATTGCAAAGATTCACCCTTTCAGATTGCCTTGTTGCTGAAGAAAAGTTCATGTATAAGTAGACAAAACTAAGCCAATTATACCAAAGCACACCAAATCATAGGACAGTAATCAGCAAACACTCTGCAAGTATCTGGAAGCTGGACCTACAACAAGACCTGGATTCATGTTCAAGCTCATTGACCCCATTTTTTAATTTAAAATAACCAGCCCCAAAATGTAAATCCAACATGATTATATTCAACCCAGAACTTTCCGAACCAAAAATAAACTCCAAATACATCAACCCATCAACACCTATCAAAAACCAACAGATACCAAACAACTGTAATATAGTGACCACCAACAACAAATCAAAAACCGAAAAGCTACTTGGATTCAAATCTTAACTGTCAACTGCCGTCCCAAAAATTCAAAAATTAATATAGAAATTCATGTTTCTAAAGGCTAGTTTCCGTTCTCATAATTTTTTTCTCTTTAATTTACAACAAAATTCAATAACAAAAAAATCATTTAAACATAAAATTAACAAGAATAAAACACAACTGAATCTATACACACCTGTCCCTTTTCTCCCACTACAACCAAATCATCTTCCTCTCCATCACCCTCACGCTCACGCTCACCCTCGCGCGCCTTATCATTATCAGCCGATACGGGTTTGTCCGGGTCAGCGTCTAACACGACACAATCGTCGTCGTCTTCATTACTGACCGTTGATTTGGAAGACTTTGACTTGATCTCACCCACCACCACCACCTCATCAGAGTCATCCACTTCATCACGAAGAAGCTTGGATAACCAGCTGTAGTCGTCGCCTTCTGGCTCGTCAAAGCCCTTCTCTTCATCGGAACTTATATCAAATACCACGTGACTCTCGCCCATAATTTAGAAAAGAAATAAAATCAAGAAACTAGGGTTCCACTTTCTGTTTTCTCATCAAAAAAATCAAAACCTCCGATTCGTTTTATTGGATTGATCAAAATTTCGGCAGAGAAATAAAAAACAAGGAAAATAAAAGAGCCAATAAGTGTGGGAATCCATTTAAAAAAATTACAAAAAGAAGAAATAAAAAAGAGATTTTTTCACAAAGCTAAATTAGAAGGGAAAAATGGAAGAAAATTTCCCGGTAAATTTCATAAAGATTAGGGCTTTAAGGTGGGAAAATCGTAATTAGAGGGTTTACGGATTGAGAAAAAAAATGAGGGGTTTTCAGAAAAGAAAGAAGGGTAGAGAGAGTGTTCCTGTTTCGAGTTTCGTGTTGTAAGAGTGTAGAGGAGAGAGAAGAGAAGTGAAAGCGAAGTAAACAATGAAGGGTATAATTGGAAATAAGAAAAAAATAAAGAGGTAGTTTAGGAATGAGAAAAGGGTACGGATGGTGATGTAATATGAGTGGACGTGGACACGTTACATATTCCACTGAAACAAACCACCCATTACGATTGACATAATTATTATATGTAAGATTCTATAACTATTTTAATATAAAATATTTTAATGAATATTTTATTTATTTTACATAATCCCATAAAGGGTAAGTGAAATAATATCATCCTTTGTACAAGTAACAAAATAAATGGTTAAAATGTTCACAAAAAAAAAATAGATGGTTAATAGAATTATTAAAATGAAATAATCTTTTTAATTTGTACGAACAAGTTTTGGCTTCTTTGATTAAAACGAGAAATACGCGTTAGTTTTGTTTAGTAAGTCGTTAATTCTTATACGTTCCCAAAGTCAAATGCAGCCGTTTTATGATGAAATTTCGTTTATTTTATTGTTTTAGTCAAGTCAACTTTTTTTATTTGTTTTATAACGTCAAGTTTAATGACAAGGATCGTATAGGGCTGAATACAAAAACTAGTAATGGGCTTGTGAACATTAAGTAGAAAATCTGATGAAAGCAAATACAAATTTAGACCACCAAACAATCAGCCCCAAACGTTAGTTGAAAAATGCTCGTTCAAAGATGGACTAGTGTTACTTTCATCTTGAGTCTTGACTGGGAATGAGGACCAAGCAGTCCAGATGCATCAGACCCAACTACCGCAGCATCACCAACACCACAAAGTTGTAAGGGCCACCACTCTTTGGATACCCATTTCCCCATATATTGAAATTTTATTGAACGACTTCCAAAGTCTCCCCTTCCCGTGATCATGATAATTCCTTCTAATCACAACCTTTCCTGCTCTGGCCAGTCTCCAATTCATAAACAACGTATTAAAGTATCCAACATTCCTCTGGTCCTGTATCATTAAATTTCGAGTGGCCCAAAACAAGTACATAAAGATGATGGCATTGGTAATGGTTGGCACCTAGAACCACCAGCAATCACTAATTTAAACACTGCATATTCCAAGAATCAACATATACATATAGAATTGCAAACAGGTACATAATACATTTACAGAAGGGTATTCTACATATCAAATCTCTAATTTTCTTCAACCTTACACGCTTGTTAGGTGTACGCTTCAACCCTTCAACTCTATACTACTCTATATTCAATGGCAAAACTACTGCCACTAAAGAAATAGAAAAACCACCGCACCAACTTCAAATGACTCTTGTTTCTGCGTTCAGCATAATTCATTATCTGCCCACTAATCAATCAATCTCTTAAATCACATGAGTAGATTATTCAAAACAATTAAACCCTTGCAGCATAGTTTCGATTACTTCACTGGACCAAGGATTTAGAAATATGTTTTTTAATTTCCTGGTATATGATATGCATATCAACTTAGCTTCAAGAGACTGTGCCTGGGGAACTATTTTCAGTTAGTAATCGCTTCTCTTCCTCCTCAAGTCTTTGCAACCACTTTAATCCAAGATTGCATCCTGCTCTTGCTGCAACCTCAAACTGTTCTTTTGCCATCTCTACCGGATTCATCAAGGGGCTTTGCGCATTAATCCTGGTTCTTTTTGCAGCAGAACTCCTCTTTGAATTGAATTTTGTCAAGGATTCTGGAACTTGTACTCCTGATGTGCCAATAATCAATGAGGGAAGCCCAAAAAGGGAACAAACCATACAGATCAGTTACATTCTACAATTTCCTAGAAAAATGAAGTTATTTTTTTAATATAAATGATCTTCTGGGAAGGAACTGAAACCTACAACACAGGTCACATCCATAAATTGACACAGACAATCAATTAATAATGGTGATGAAAGATCTGGTGCACATAGAATAATTATGTGCTATTTACATATCATATTTGTATTTTCAATGAGTGATAAAAAAATCTAGGATATCCAATGTCAACTATAATCCATAACTTCTAATTACTAGTAAGCTTAAAGAAATCTTGGGCAAGCATAAGAAGCTGGATTTCCATATGCTAAGAAGCTGAGAAAAACCTCACCTCTAAGAAGGAGAGATCCATATGCTATAGCAGCACCAGCATGTCCCTGCATATATTTGAAGAAGAGAAATGAGATTTGTACAGAACATGCCAGTTGAAAATTCTCAAATACCATTGAAAATTCTTCAACATTTTGCACCAGGCACGCTCCATGTTTTGGCAATGCTGCAGTAGAACTTGCACATTAGAACAAATGTATGGCACAGTGCAGTGCCACCTTTGAAATCCAGAATTCTCTAGGAGATCATACTTCATATTGTAAATATACTTTCTTTCAAGTTTCGGAGTTAGTCATTTTTGGGCTTTAGGACATTGAAGACTGTATCTAGAGAACAAAGAAAACTCAAGGGAGGGGGTGAGTGCATATCCGTGACCAAAAAAAAAAAATGGTTCTTTTGCACATGCAGCATCTAGAGGGCAGGTATAAATCCTACAAGCATTTGAATAAATATTTACAAGGAACAAAAGCCCACTTACTCTCAATGGACCATATGATCTAGATTGCAAAGATTCACCCTTTCAGATTGCCTTGTTGCTGAAGAAAAGTTCATGTATAAGTAGACAAAACTAAGCCAATTATACCAAAGACACCAAACATAGGACTAATCAGCAACACTCTGCAAGTATCGAAGCTGGCCTACAACAAGACCTGGATTCATGTTCAAGCTCATGACCCCTTTTTAATTTAAAAAAACCAGCCCCAAAATGTAAATCCAACATGATTATATTCATCCCAAACTTTCCGAACCAAAAATAAACTCCAAATACATCAACCCATCAACACCTATCAAAAACCAACAATACCAAACAACTGTAATATAGTGACCACCAACAACAAATCAAAAACCGAAAAGCTACTGGATTCAAATCTTAACTTCAACTGCCGTCCCAAAAATTCAAAATTAATATAGAAATTCATGTTTCTAAAGGCTAGTTTCCGTCTCAAATTTTTCTCTTTAATTTACAACAAAATTCAATAACAAAAATCATTTAAACTAAAATTAACAAGAATAAAACACAACTGAATCTATACACACCTGTCCCTTTTCTCCCACAACAACCAAATCATCTTCCTCTCATCACCCTCACGCTCACGCTCACCCTCCGCGCGCCTTATCATATCAGCCGATACGGGTTTGTCCGGGTCAGCGTCTAACACGACACAATCGTCGTCGTCTTCATACTGACCGTTGATTGGAAGACTTTGACTTGATCCACCCACCACCACACCTCATCAGAGTCATCCATTCATCACAGAAGCTTGGATAACCAGCTGTAGTCGTCGCCTTCTGGCTCGTCAAAGCCCTTCTCTTCATCGGAACTTATCAAATCCACGTGACTCTCACCCAATTTAGAAAAGAAATAAAATCAAGAAACTAGGGTTCCACTTTCTGTTTTCTCATCAAAAAATCAAAACCTCCGATTGTTTTATTGGATTGATCAAAATTTCGGCAGAGATAAAAACAAGGAAAAAAAGAGCCAATAAGTGTGGGAATCCATTTAAAAAAATTACAAAAAGAAGAAATAAATGAGATTTTTTCACAAAGCAAAGTAGAATTAATTTTACACCGGTTTCACAAAAAAAGTAATTACATTACAAAATATTAACGTTTATGAAAGAGTAATTACATCACATAAATTAACGGTTGATTAATTACTCAGCATTTGGCTGCCGTTAACATGAAACGTTCAAAAAATCTACCTAAGAAATAAGAGAACTTTGGCAATCACACATGTTACCATCGTTCAAGTTGGCTTTAATAATGGAATATGTTGTCATGTCATATACAGATTATCAAGAATATATAACTTTATGTGTCCCCTTTGACAAGTAGCCAGTATGTGATATTTTGTTGTTATTGTTGGGACAATCTGATTGACATATCCTTTATTGCTTCTTTTAGTTATATATTGTTAACAAACAGGGTGGCCATCAAATTGCTCACCTGATTTCTGAAGCAATAGCTGACTTGGGGCCCTTATGTTATATATCAATAAGGCAATAGACAATTCGTACACATATCAAAGCAGGGCCAATTGAGAAAGGAAGCCGACCTTCCTTACAGAACTATGCACACAACCAGACAACCATTTAGAAAATCGGGGAAGAGTCCGATTCCAATCACATTCATGAGGAAACTGAGACATAATTTAAGCTTTGGGATTCATTAAGATAAAAAGATTTGCCTGCATCTGTTACTCTCTACAGATTCATTCATCCAATAGACACTTTGTACACTTCATTTCATATTAGTTGTACACTAGAATAGGTCCTCTGACAAAGTGTAAGCCCAACCTACAAAACATAATTATTTTCAGCTTCTTTTGTAAAGCACCAGCTATACTTGGCTATACATGTGCCAGACCATTGAAAGAGGTTTCAAAATCAAATAAAAGCATACCTGCATCAACAAAATGTGCAGGCGTATATGCTTCCGGCACCTGCACTGCATGATTTTCTTGAAACCAGTCATCAAATTCATGGTCACTGTAATGAAATTTGGTACCTCCATTACAATGTGAATTTAACTCCTGGAAAGGTAATGGCTCGTTTTTAGACCCTGTTCTATGGAGATGACAATTTTCGTTTGGAGGTTGTTGATTGCTTCCACTGTCATTTAACCATGGGTCAAAATCAGAAAGATTTGGACCTATCATATTTTGCCTTTGATTGCCAAGCTCACCGCTAAGTAGGCCATCATTTGATTGAGAAATATGCTCTGCATATCCATGGGGTTGAGGAACAGGTTCACTGCTTGCATGAATTTCAGGAATAGGCTGGCTGTATATTTGCAGTTGAGGAATAGGTCTGTATATTGGTTGTTGAGACATAGGCTGGCTGTATGGTTGAGGTTCTGGAATTGTCTGACTGTATACTGGGGATTGGGAGGGCACTGTACTCACAAAGACACTTCCAGTGCCAGTCTGGGAGATGTTCTGATATGTACATGAATCCTGACTCATGCCGGGGACCCACTGCATGTTAATACCATCAGTAGTAGACAAGGCCGGTGGAACAGGAGCGCACGTAATTTGTGATGCATGAACGCCTCTGGTGTTGTTTGCAGAGCTATAGACAGATTGGTTCATTGTGGGGGCATCTCCAGCAATCCCGGGCCTTCTAAACATTCCCAAGTTGCCACCGTTAACACCTCTGTCCCTACGGATGACATTATTGCGTACCCTAAGCAATGGTGACTGTTGAGAAACTACGCGTGTCTGTAACCTGTTTTTGCCAAAAACTGGTCCTGATTGTCGGCTTCTACCCTGACTTATGATGTTTGGAATGCTCAACCTGTTTGAAGAAGGGCAAGCACGGACTATACCTGGCCTCGAGAGTTGATTCTGTGGTACACAATTGGATGCCAATTGAATAATATCACGAGGTGGAATTTGGTTAAGGTGTGGAAACGTTGTAGATAGAGAAGTTTCCGGAACTTTAACTGGTACAGGAGCATCTTTCTGAATCCTGAAATTTTTCCGCTGAGATTTCCAAAAATCTTCCTTCTCAGTAGCATGACAATGATCAATATCACAAACACCAGAACCCCAATGAGCACATGGAGCAACTGAGTCACAGACATAACAATGACACTGCATTTCAGCAAGAAGAGGGCAGAAATCAGCACCAAAAAATGTCAAACACTAGGTCTCTGCCAATATTTCAGTAGAAAAAGAAAACTAAAAAATTTACCTGGTCGCAATGCAATTCATGTGCAGTAGAACTGAAAGGAAATTTAGCACAAAGATGCCGTGGATGAGGGAAGTCTCTGCATGCAACCTATACAATGAAGACAGAACAACCATTTTTGTCAGAAATACGGTGCTACATCTCCCAATCAAAATTGTAATCAGGGAAGTTGATAAAGTGATGTGACTTAACAAGGTCATCAATGTGCAAAGAAGTAAAAAGAAATGGTTTAACATCAAGTGTAGATAAGCAGCATAAGCTGAATAGCCCAACAGCAAACTTACCTAAGGTACTCAGGCCCAAACAAGTCCATAGTTTGAGAAATCTCAAAGATGATTCTAATGTTCTTTAGAAATCCAGAATTTCTCTAGGAAATCATACTTCATATTGTAAATATACTTTCTTTCAAGTTTCAGGAGTTAGTCATCTTTTTGGGCTTTAGGACATTGATAGACTGTATCTAGAGAACAAAGAAAACTTCAAGGGAGGGGTTGAGTGCATATCCGTGACCCCAAAAAAAAAAAAATTGGTTCTTTTGCACATGCAGCATCTAGAGGGCAGGTATAAATCCTACAAGCATTTGAATAAATATTTACAAGGAACAAAAAGCCCACTTACTCTCAATGGACCATATGATCTAGATTGCAAAGATTCACCCTTTCAGATTGCCTTGTTGCTGAAGAAAAGTTCATGTATAAGTAGACAAAACTAAGCCAATTATACCAAAGCACACCAAATCATAGGACAGTAATCAGCAAACACTCTGCAAGTATCTGGAAGCTGGACCTACAACAAGACCTGGATTCATGTTCAAGCTCATTGACCCCATTTTTTAATTTAAAATAACCAGCCCCAAAATGTAAATCCAACATGATTATATTCAACCCAGAACTTTCCGAACCAAAAATAAACTCCAAATACATCAACCCATCAACACCTATCAAAAACCAACAGATACCAAACAACTGTAATATAGTGACCACCAACAACAAATCAAAAACCGAAAAGCTACTTGGATTCAAATCTTAACTGTCAACTGCCGTCCCAAAAATTCAAAAATTAATATAGAAATTCATGTTTCTAAAGGCTAGTTTCCGTTCTCATAATTTTTTTCTCTTTAATTTACAACAAAATTCAATAACAAAAAAATCATTTAAACATAAAATTAACAAGAATAAAACACAACTGAATCTATACACACCTGTCCCTTTTCTCCCACTACAACCAAATCATCTTCCTCTCCATCACCCTCACGCTCACGCTCACCCTCGCGCGCCTTATCATTATCAGCCGATACGGGTTTGTCCGGGTCAGCGTCTAACACGACACAATCGTCGTCGTCTTCATTACTGACCGTTGATTTGGAAGACTTTGACTTGATCTCACCCACCACCACCACCTCATCAGAGTCATCCACTTCATCACGAAGAAGCTTGGATAACCAGCTGTAGTCGTCGCCTTCTGGCTCGTCAAAGCCCTTCTCTTCATCGGAACTTATATCAAATACCACGTGACTCTCGCCCATAATTTAGAAAAGAAATAAAATCAAGAAACTAGGGTTCCACTTTCTGTTTTCTCATCAAAAAAATCAAAACCTCCGATTCGTTTTATTGGATTGATCAAAATTTCGGCAGAGAAATAAAAAACAAGGAAAATAAAAGAGCCAATAAGTGTGGGAATCCATTTAAAAAAATTACAAAAAGAAGAAATAAAAAAGAGATTTTTTCACAAAGCTAAATTAGAAGGGAAAAATGGAAGAAAATTTCCCGGTAAATTTCATAAAGATTAGGGCTTTAAGGTGGGAAAATCGTAATTAGAGGGTTTACGGATTGAGAAAAAAAATGAGGGGTTTTCAGAAAAGAAAGAAGGGTAGAGAGAGTGTTCCTGTTTCGAGTTTCGTGTTGTAAGAGTGTAGAGGAGAGAGAAGAGAAGTGAAAGCGAAGTAAACAATGAAGGGTATAATTGGAAATAAGAAAAAAATAAAGAGGTAGTTTAGGAATGAGAAAAGGGTACGGATGGTGATGTAATATGAGTGGACGTGGACACGTTACATATTCCACTGAAACAAACCACCCATTACGATTGACATAATTATTATATGTAAGATTCTATAACTATTTTAATATAAAATATTTTAATGAATATTTTATTTATTTTACATAATCCCATAAAGGGTAAGTGAAATAATATCATCCTTTGTACAAGTAACAAAATAAATGGTTAAAATGTTCACAAAAAAAAAATAGATGGTTAATAGAATTATTAAAATGAAATAATCTTTTTAATTTGTACGAACAAGTTTTGGCTTCTTTGATTAAAACGAGAAATACGCGTTAGTTTTGTTTAGTAAGTCGTTAATTCTTATACGTTCCCAAAGTCAAATGCAGCCGTTTTATGATGAAATTTCGTTTATTTTATTGTTTTAGTCAAGTCAACTTTTTTTATTTGTTTTATAACGTCAAGTTTAATGACAAGGATCGTATAGGGCTGAATACAAAAACTAGTAATGGGCTTGTGAACATTAAGTAGAAAATCTGATGAAAGCAAATACAAATTTAGACCACCAAACAATCAGCCCCAAACGTTAGTTGAAAAATGCTCGTTCAAAGATGGACTAGTGTTACTTTCATCTTGAGTCTTGACTGGGAATGAGGACCAAGCAGTCCAGATGCATCAGACCCAACTACCGCAGCATCACCAACACCACAAAGTTGTAAGGGCCACCACTCTTTGGATACCCATTTCCCCATATATTGAAATTTTATTGAACGACTTCCAAAGTCTCCCCTTCCCGTGATCATGATAATTCCTTCTAATCACAACCTTTCCTGCTCTGGCCAGTCTCCAATTCATAAACAACGTATTAAAGTATCCAACATTCCTCTGGTCCTGTATCATTAAATTTCGAGTGGCCCAAAACAAGTACATAAAGATGATGGCATTGGTAATGGTTGGCACCTAGAACCACCAGCAATCACTAATTTAAACACTGCATATTCCAAGAATCAACATATACATATAGAATTGCAAACAGGTACATAATACATTTACAGAAGGGTATTCTACATATCAAATCTCTAATATTCTTCAACCTTACACGCTTGTTAGGTGTAGGCTTCAACCCTTCAACTCTATACTACTCTATATTCAAAGGAAAACCTTCTGCCACTAAAGAAATAGAAAAACAAACGCACCAACTTCTAAAGACTCTTGTTTCTGCGTTCAGCATAATTCATTATCTGCCCACTAATCAATCAATCTCTTAAATCACATGGGTAGATTATTCAAAACAATTAAACCCTTGCAGCATAGTTTCAATTATACTTCACTGGACCAAGGATTTAGAAATATATTTTTCAATTTCCTGGTATATGATATGCATATCAACTTAGCTTCAAGAGACTGTGGCTGGGGAACTATTTTCAGTTAGTAATCGCTTCTCTTCCTCCTCAAGTCTTTGCAACCACTTTAATCCAAGATCACATCCTGCTCTTGCTGCAACCTCAAACTGTTCTTTTGCCATCTCTACCGGATTCATCAAGGGGCTTTGCGCATTAATCCTGGTTCTTTTTGCAGCAGAACTCCTCTTTGAATTGAATTTTGTCAAGGATTCTGGAACTTGTACTCCTGATGTGCCAATAATCAATGAGGGAAGCCCAAAAAGGGAACAAACCATACAGATCAGTTACATTCTACAATTTCCTAGAAAAATGAAGTTATTTTTTTAATATAAATGATCTTCTGGGAAGGAACTGAAACCTACAACACAGGTCACATCCATAAATTGACACAGACAATCAATTAATAATGGTGATGAAAGATCTGGTGCACATAGAATAATTATGTGCTATTTACATATCATATTTGTATTTTCAATGAGTGATAAAAAAATCTAGGATATCCAATGTCAACTATAATCCATAACTTCTAATTACTAGTAAGCTTAAAGAAATCTTGGGCAAGCATAAGAAGCTGGATTTCCATATGCTAAGAAGCTGAGAAAAACCTCACCTCTAAGAAGGAGAGATCCATATGCTATAGCAGCACCAGCATGTCCCTGCATATATTTGAAGACAAGAAATGAGATTTGTACAGAACATGCCAGTTGAAAATTCTCAAATACCATTGAAAATTCTTCAACATTTTGCACCAGGCACGCTCCATGTTTTGGCAATGCTGCGGTAGAACTTGCACATCAGAACAAATGTATGGCACAGTGCAGTGCCACACCCCGGCCAGGGCATGTAAACAAAGTGTATCAAGCATAGACTATCAAATAGTTTGACAGCATCCAAAGAATTATTTATTTTATCCACCCATTTCAAACTTCAACAGTTTCACCCAAAAGCAATCTAACAGCCAATTTGTCAACTAACAGTCTAACAGTAAGTTTCTGATCGCCATTACTGGAGAACAATTGCCAACAACAAGCACCCTTCCATTTCAATCAATAACTGTGATATGTTAAGCATTAAGAATAACTTTACCTTCTCTGATGCCCTATGGAAACACCATAATGCTGAGGCAATATCTTTCTTCACACAGTCCCCTGTCAAATATACAGCGCCTAGAAGGTAAAGAGCACCTGGATGCAACTAAAATATAACAGCTCCATAAGATTTTGAGACATTCTGAAATGTTAATATGCATCAGCAACAGGGGCATACCTGGTCAACAGCCTTCTCTATATAATAGAAAGCTTGTTGATCTGATTGGACATAATCATTCTATAAAAAAAATAGAAAAAAGCCAAAAATTATTACTTTCTCATATCATATTCATGCATCAGAAAATATATTAGTATCAAGATGCGGAATGAAGAATCTAACCTCAACCCTCAAACGACAACCTAATTCATATTGGGCATCTGGGTCACCCATATTAGCAGCTTCTACCAATAATGCAGCTCCTCTATCAAAGGAAAAAGAAGAAACGATATCAATCATGTGAGCGTGCATGACTTTATAGTTTACAAAAAAAGATGGAAGTCTTTTAAAAGACATTATCTGAATAATATTGCGTTATGGCATTTAAGGGTACATTTCGAAAAGGAATGTCCAAATTTCTCAACAAATTTCTCAACAAATTATTGAGGAAAAAAGGAACCGCTGATCAAAATAAAGTTTGAATCGTAGTGAATTCTAATTGTAGACCATTTAACACACAGAATATAAAAAATTGGATTACTTGAGAAAAGTAAAGGTTTTACATTCACTTACATGGCTTTACATGCCCCAGGAACATGATACTTCATATGCAGTTTCGATAACCAATACCGGGCATGCGTATTTGAGTTGTCAGCCTCCAGAGCCAACTCAAAATTCTCCTTTGCCGTCTGGAATCGAAAGTTAAAAAAAATAAATAAAAATTAAAAAACAGGAAAAAAATTTTTTTACAAAGAAGAAGCTAACGATACCTTGAGGAGAGGGATGAGGCGTCGATCATTGAGTTCACAGTAATCGATGACTCTATCGACTTCTTTCAAAGCACTCCATCCTTTAGCTATGAACTCCATGGCCTTCTTGTTTCTGCTGTGTAGCCATCTCTGTAAAGTAATCCCACAAGAACCTATTAAATTGGTTGGTAAAATGAAGGGAGATTGAGAAGGCGGAAATGGCTTACCTGTTGGTGCAGTTGATTGAATTGTAGAAGACGGAGAGTGGCGGATTTTAGGGTGAACATTCTGAAAATTTGTTTGTGAGCGACTGACCTGAGTGGTAACGAGCTGAGCAAAATCGGGTCTAACCCGGTTAAAACCGTATTACTAGGCGGGTATGTTTATGTGTAAGTTACCATGACGGGAACGTTATCCTCACCGTTAATTCATTCTTTTGGAATTGAGGAAGTTTTGGTGTGCAAATGAGTGGTGTGATTGGAGAATGAGAGGAGTAATCAACTTAACTTTAGGTCCGAGAATCTTGCTCATTAAGTTTCTGAAAATTCCATAAATAAACCCAATTATATTTAAATTTAAAAATACGCTTCCGAGATTAAAGGACGGCAGCGACCAGTGCCAACCTGGATTCAGATGTATGCCACCATCGCCTTTCATTTGCGTCTCTATCCCGCTCTTTTGTTTGCTTTTGCTTTCTTTGTCGTGCTTACCTACTCCGTTTCATTCATACACCACATATATTTGTAATACCCAGTCTTACAAATTTACAATTAATTACTAAACACCCTAGTAAATTAATTAGAGAGAAAATTCAGATTAGTTTAACAGATTAATTCATACGGATATCGATCGTCTTGAATGGATCATTTTTCTTATTTCGAGTATACAATCAAAAGTAAACAAGAGATCGACAGAATTTTTTCAAAACTGAAAATATTATAACTTTCTCTGAATACAAATGTACAAAGCTTCTCTTATAGAGAAGTCGGATTTCAAAATATTTGAATCGTAAATAAGATAAAATATTGCACAAACATATGCAATCACCAACATATGTGACTTGACTTTATCTAAAACAAATAACACGTAACTTAAAAGAAATAAAAAACATAAGAAAATATGACATGGATCCCATGTGTTTCCCATGTTAACACAATGTTTTACATTTTACATATTGTTATGACAATGATAAAGTAGTCAAGATTTCTTTAAATCTTCTGCGCAATTTTCTGTCGGCAAATCTTGACGCTCCACGTATTATTCGCTTATTGGGTACACGTCAGCGTATTATATGTTGGACGTTTCCGGTTGTCCAAATCCCACTCCAGATTTTTATCAATCTTTGAAGTTTCTACTTCGATAAGATCAATAAAATCTTTTAGAGAAGTTCTTCTTGGGCTTCCTGGTCGTGGGTAAGACCAACCTTAGAAGATCAATAGTAATTCATTAAGGCCTGCGCGTAGATGGCTAAATCGAACCCTTCTAAAAACGTTTTCAACTGAGCCTGATATGTTGAAAGAGAGTATCTTGGATCAATGCATCATGTCTGGTATAACTACCACAATTCCATCCTGAATATGGACAGAGCATTACATCTCACGAGCTCTTCCAGTTTGGATTTAACCAGTAACATTTTAGCAATGTGTAACCTGGTCCAATCTTCCTCTTCTTCTTCTGAATTTCTTTTAGTGCGAAAGAACCCATTTTTACCTCGCATCGAGCAAATTCGGTACACGGTTCTCCTACAAGAAATTCTCATATCTGTACAGGCTGAACATCACAATTCTCTTGCAATGAGGAAGTAATCATGCAAGTGAAAGTGTTACTCTTCCAATTCATATACAGAGCGTTTGCTTAACCGCATCTGGTTATTCGGATCCACCATCGCTTCCCGTCAATTTGCATTGTATCGATCCATCTTTAGTCAAAAGATTATCCAAAAACCTTTTCTAAAGATTTTCTATGAACGAACAATTCCATAACTCCATTAGGATAACAGCTAATCCTTGAACCACATCTGTCAAGTCAGTTTTTCCCAATTTCACTATTAATTCATTCAAATTCTCAAGTTTGAGTTTTGACATGTCAAACAAATGATATTTTCATTACCTAAGTTTTGAATTCCTGCTTCATAGAGTAAAGCAGTTTCCTTGAACTCCTCATCCTCATAAAACAGGTTATCAGTTCCAGCCATGCTAACCTTCTTGCTAGCTCTCTAAACACTTCTGCAGCTGTACTTCCCCTTGTCCTGTTGCCATCGCGATCCTAATTTGGGTTTCCAGATATCCCCAGAGTGTTTGACTAGCTGAAGTTAATCTTAAGCCTTTGGAAAGTAAACCTCCACAAATATCTGCGTCAATCAACGCTTTGTTTATGGAGTATGTGGAGTCACCACGCTTGTAGCGCCTGACTTCCTCAGAAATTTTTATCTTTGACAGTGGACAATTAGCCCGTTCATGTCCTTCCTGTTTACAAGACCAGCAAACCTTGCTTTTTTGAGTTGTGTCCTTCTTAAGAGTAACCTCTTTTCAGAAGTATTTTCTTCGTAGAAGTTTCACCCTGCAATCGTTGAAATTTCGGGTTTCTTCTATGAAGTATCGAATCATAGTCACGATTCCTCCTTCACCTGCTTTACTGCAATAACCTGCTTAGAGAAGAAGAAGCCACTTGCTTATCTGCAGTTTCTCCTTTAGCAGTAACCTTTGAAGTAGAAGTAACCTTCAAAGGACAATTCCTTCTCAAGTGTCCCGTTGCTTACACTTAGAACATGAGAAGTGATTTCAGTTTTTCTTGTCCGCATTATCCTGCAATTCTTCTGCAAAATATCTGGACAAAAAGTCAGCAACAAAGTAGATTTACCAGAAATATATTCAAATTTGTTCTATAATTTGCAAACCAAATTGCCATCTGATTAGTCTAGCTTTGTCATCATTTAAAGATAGTTTCATAAAAAAGTTTTTAAATATTTAGAGTCTGTCCTTAAAGTAAATTCCTGACTGATTACGAACAATCGAAATCGGTCAATACATTCTTTCGCTGCTAAAACTTCCTTCTCATGAACAGGATAGTTTATTTCAGCAGAGAGAATTTTCTGACGCATATCGAACAATCCGTCAATATTATCAGTACCCTTAGCCTAAGCACACTCCCTATACAAGTGAGAGTGATCACTTTCTATAATGAGTTTATCCTCATCTTCGGGAGTTTCAAAGGTTTAATTGCTTTGTCAAGGCCTTGGTCCGCTTAACACAATTAGTGTCTTCAAGTGTCCAATCCCAGGGCACTTTCTAACTAACTTAAACGTCAAGCCATTAATTACATTAGCGAGATTAGGAACATAATCGCGCATGTAATTGGCTAACCAAGAAATTGCTGTAACATGGTGCTTATCTTCCAGCACATCTGGAAACAGCAACTTCTTTGAGATATGTCTTGGAGTTGAATACCTCCTCTCCCTATCTCACGCCTAAGAACTTCACCTTGTTCTAAACCATTCTACCTTTCTTTAGATAGAATCATTCCATGATCAAGGAACCTTATGAACACAAGTCTAAGATGATTTACATGTTTTTCCAAGTTTTACTAAAAACCAGAACATCATCAATATAGACTACAAAAAAGTTAGAAAATCTCCAAAGACTTTATCCATTTTCCTCTGGAATATTGATGGTGCGCGTTAAGCCCAAAAGGTAGAACCATCCATTCAAACAATCCTTTCGGACAGGTGAAAGCCGTCAAAGGAATGCTTGACTCCGCCATCCGATCTGCCAGAATCCTGACTTCAGATCAAATTTGGAGAAGATTTTTCCAAATCTAGCTTTATTCAAAAAAGCTGATTTGTTTGGTATCTTATAAGCATCGTCAATGGTTTTTTTCATTTAACTGCCTATAATCGATAACCATCCGCGCTTTACCTCTTAAACTGCTCAGCTCTATTCATAACCATGAATGCTAGCGAAGAGTGTGGACTTTTACTGGCGCGTATCAATTGCTTTTCCAGCAATTCTGGTAATTGCTTAATGAATTCCTCCTCGCATCAAGAGTATAAGGAAAAGATTTGGTCATAATTTATCATCCTTCCTTTTTAATTCAAGTGAAGCATATACCGTTCCTTTCCCATAACTTTAATGGTTGATCATCAAAGCATGGGAAAGTTCCTCTTAAAGGTTTTACAAGTTCCTCAATCCTTAAAGAGTTCTTTTGGCTTGTTTTCAACCTTAAGATTTTTTCCTTATGTATGAATTTATCCGTGCTCTCAAGGCATGCACCAGAGGGATCATCCCTCCGATATACCTCGTGCGATCCGGTTTGTATGATAACTAGGATACACCTTTGAAGAAAACATTACAAAGCCTCATCCACTTCTTCTGCATCAGAAGATTGCAACCACCAATTCCTTGTTTCAAAGCTTGGAAAACAATGTGATCTATTTCCTGCCTTAGTTTCACCGCGTCTAAAAACGTTTCTCACTTTCGAAACTTCAGGCTTAGCAAGAGTAGGGATTTTAGACCTCCTAGGATAAGTGGTGTTATCCTGAGTAAATGTCTAACCTCTGCCTGACCTCGCAGAAAGTATTTCCGAGAATAAAATCTACCTCCAAGTAATCCACTACTAGGACTTCCCTTAGAGTGAATTTTTTCTCGTTTAACAGTACAACCACGTTTTCTACCACATCCGTGATCATACTTTGACCTCCATCTGCAACGTATTTAAGATAGGTTTTTCCAATGGTTCAAAGCTCCTGTGGAAAACATTGCTTCCTTGCAATCATTGTTGCTCCCGTGTCTACAGAATATCCAGAGCATATTCCTCATATTCTGGAAAACACAGTTTAGCACGAATGCATGTGTCAATAGTCCCTGAACTATCGCATGACAATGCATTTCATGACTCATTCATTTTCGTGCTTGGAGTCGTCTTCATATACTGGGATTTGCACAGATTTATACCCAACTATTTCTGCTATCGCTACTCAGCCTCGTAGCAGTTTCATCTGTTTCCAGTATATTTTTCCTTGATATAATAGGTTGAATTCCTATTTCCGCTTAGAGACACCGAATTTCTAGGCGTAGGTAGAGTAACTTCAACCTCATTATCAAGTTCCTGGATTTGAATCCCGATTTGGGTTTAATTCCACCACGCTGGGCTGTGTAGAATATTCCAAAACCCATCATTTCGGCCACGTAAGAGCCTTTGCATTGACTATCGTAGGTCGAATCGAATTACAGAATCCTGTCCCGGGCCATAAACCTCAGTATCTGCACTGGAGTTCATAGTATAGGATTAACCGAATTATCAACGATAATTAACCTTACTGAATTGCTATTCCATACTAGAAGCATCAAGTTTTCTAGTCCTGAAGTATGATTCGAAGAACCACAATCCGTTTGAGATTTGGATCCTGGAGACTAACCATGTATCCTGGTTTAACAGTCCGTAGGCATCTCCCAAAGCTAAGTTAGCGTGAAAACTGCCAACGAGAGCTTTACCAAACGTAAGCCATCGTCTGTCCAGTAAGCAACCTGAACAGGTACATTCATTCCTCACGGATAGTTCCTGCACACGAATCTGTACAACACCAAGTTGTACATAATTATACTTGCCATTGCCCGTTTGGCAAGATTCGAACTTTCCGTAGCCACTCGTCATTCAAGAGTACCAATTCTCCTCTTGAGAATGAGACTGAGACAAAGCTACACGAACGGTTTTTCGTGTACATCTTCCAAGCCTTCAGTTTAAATATCCACTTAGAGCGTTCGCTAACCGCATTGGTATATTCGGATCCACCATCGCTTCCTGTACGTCAATTTGATTGACGATCCATCCTTTAGTCAAAAGATCTCTACAAAAACTTTCTAAAGATTTCCATGGAACGACAATTCCATAGCTCCATTAGGATAAACTGCTAATCCTTGAACCACACGTCAAGTCAGTTTTTCTCAATTTCATCTAATTCATTCAAATTCTCGAGTTTGAGTTTTGACATGTCAAACAAATGACATTTTCTCATTACCTCAAGTTTTAAATTCCTGCTTCATAGAATAAGCAAAACGTTCCCTTGAACCTCATCTCATAAAACAGTTATCAGCTTCAGCATGCTAACCTTCTGCTAGCTTCTCTAAAACATTCTCAGCTGTACTTCCCCTTGTCCTGTCGCCATCGCGATCCTAATTTGGGTTTCCAGATCCTCCAGAGTTTTTGACTAGCTGAGTTAATCTTAAGCCTTCTGGAAAGCTAAACCTTCACAAATATCTGCGTCAATCAACCGCTTTGTTTGTGGAGTAGTGGAGTCACCACGCTAGCGCTGACGATTCCTCAGAAATTTTTATCTTTGACAGTGGACAATTAGCCCGTTCATGTCCTTCCTGTTTAAAGACCAGCAAACCTTGCTTTTTTTGAGTTGTGTCCTTCTTAAGAGTAACTCTCTTTTCAGAAGTATTTTCTTTCGTAGAAGTTTCACCCTGCAATCGTTGAAATTTCGGGTTTCTTCTATCCGAAGTATCGAATCATAGTCACGATTCCTCCCTTCAACCTGCTTTACCGCAGTAACCTGCTTAGAAGAAGAGCCACCTGTTTATCTGCAGTTTTCTCCTTTTTAACAGTAACTTTGAAGTAGAAGTAACCTTCAAAGGACAATTCCTTCTCAAGTGTCTCGTTGCTTACACTTGGAACATGAGAAGTGATTTCCAGTTTCCTCTTGTCCGCCATTATCCTACAATTCTTCTGCAAATATCTGGACAAAAGTCAGCAACAAAGTTAGATTTACCAGAAATATATCAAATTTGATTCTATAATTTGCAAACCCAATTGCATCTGATTAGTTTAGCTTGCATCATTTAAAGACAGTTTCATAAAAGTTTTTAAATATTTAAAGTCTGCCTTAAGTAAATTCCTGACTGATTACGAACAATCAAAATCGGTCAATACATTCTTTCATGCTAAACCCTTCTCATGAACAGGAGTTTATTCAACAGGAGAGAATTTTCCTGACGCATATCGAACAAATCCGTTCAATATTATCAGTACCCTTAGCCTTAAGCACACCTCCCCATACAAGTGAGATGCATCACTTTCTATAATGATGTTTATCCTATCTTCTGGGAGTTTCAAAGGTTTTAATTGCTTTGTCAAGGCCTTGGTCCGCTTAACACAATTAGTGTCTTCAAGTGTCCAATCCCAAGGCACTTTATCACTAACTTTAAGCGTCAAGCCATTAATTACATTAGCGAGATTAGGAACATACTCGCGCATGTAATTGGCTAACCCAAGAAATTGCTGTAACATGTGCTTATCTTCCAGCACATCTGGAAATTCCAGCAACTTCTTTGAGATATGTTCTTGGAGTTGAATACCTCCTTCACCTATCTCAACGCCTAAGAACTTCACATTGTTCTTAAACCATTCTACCTTTCTTTCAGATAGATTCATTCCATTATCAAGGAACCTTTTGCACACAAGTCTAAGATGATTTACATGTTCTTCCATAGTTTTACTAAAAATCAGAACATCATCAATATAGACTACACAAAAGTTGGATATTATGTGGATTCCAAACTATTCAATCAAATTTTCATTTTAGATAATTTTGATTAATATATGCTTACTTAATCTAAGTTCACGTCACATGGATGAACTTTTTTTTTTTTTTTTCTAAATACAATTAAATTATATACATTTTTTTTAGACAGGGTATCTGTTATCTGAACCAGTTTACACACACCTAAAATAGTCTCCATAGGTGATTAACACAACATTTTAATTCCTATCATCATGATCATCTGCTTAAATTTATCTTAGGATCTGAGGGATTTGAATTTAAAGTTGTGCATCTTGACCACACATCCCAATACTTGTTCTATCACTGAGTTACCTGAAGATGAAATTATTTATTTTTTGAATTATAACAACATTAATTGAAACAATTTTAACATCTTATTTAAACAACATTATGATAGTAATATGTTATGTTAGCATTCAAAATAATATCAATGCAAGATAAAATTAAGAGTTTTCATATATTTATATTAAAGGGATGTACAAATAAAATGATATATTTATCCTATTTAAATTCTTTATTATATATAAAAAAAATTATTATTTATTATTATTATTTTGCCCTTTTTTCCTCTCATTTAAATGATAACCATGTGAATAATTTAATATTACACAAAGTTCCTATGCTAAGTTAATCGTAGCCATTGTCTCGCAAATTTAGTAAAAATGATCCATGCACCAACGCGTGTACAAGACTCACATGGATGGGAAGTGGTATTTAATCGGTTTTTCTATTAAACCCTAACCACAAAGTTTGATGGACAGCTTTGATCGAAAGAGGGCACAGTGATACTGGCGGTCGAAGGGAAGAGTAGAGCCCACTGCATTTAACGACATTTTATCAGCACGAGACACGTTGAATTTTGAAAAGTCAAAAACACTTTATCGTTAATGGAAGTTATTAGCCTTTTTTTATTATTATAAAATAATTAATTAGGTCAATATCAGAATGCCTCCCGTGAGAATATCTGTTTTCACTCAACACCTTATCCCATCCCAATTGCACTATTCAGAATCAGTTAAAAAAGTTATCAAAGGTATTCATTCCTATTTGAATAACGTTCATTTTCTCAATTTGAATTTATATAATTTTTATATGGTCCTTTATTTTTTAAGAAATTGCTTTGGCTTTTAAAAAATTAAATTTTACTTTTACTTAATTATTATTCTACAAGTCATAGATTGTATAAATCAGTTTAACAAATATCTGCTAATGAAATATTAAGGAAAAATTTAAATAAAACTTAAACAATAACAGATTAGTACCTCAAGATTGATTTAAATTCAATGTTGCAATTGAAGAGTTCTAACATTGTAATTTGCAAGTTGTAACAGCCACAGGGTATTCTCAATGGCTCACTAAGATGTCATTTATCAGACTATAAGGGATCTATATGATATTATTTAAAGCTGTCTTTTTCCCTTCTAGAATCTCCTTCTCTCATGGCATGTGTAAGAGTAACCTCCTCTCTTCATTCTACTTTTAACTCCCTTCTATATTTAGCAACTATTTCAATCTCTTTCATTCTCTTTCACACGAAACCGAACCAAACACAACCTACATTCATTGAGGTACGCATGACGATTTTCTTTTTGCTTTTTTCTTTTCTTTTCTTTTCTCTCATCAGCTTTAAATTTTGTTCAGGCATTTACTGGGTTTTATTTCATGCGCTACAAGCTAGCTTTCGGTTACAGTTTCATATTTTGAAGAATATGTAGCCGTTTGTACGTTTAAATTCTTGATTTGGGTACTTTATTATGTACATTGTTATGCTCGTTTTCTAAAGTTTGTAGTATCTGAATTGTTTTGGATGTTTTTTTGGCTACCAGGGTGTTTAGTGAAAGCACCAGCAAGGCCAAAAGTTTTTCAGATTTTGAAGTTTATGTGAGAACATTTGTGATCAAATTTTATGTGTGCAAGATTTAGTTGACCATAAAATCAAGGATCAAAAACAATTGAGGGGAGGTTATGGTTATTTCATTTTGATTGTTGTTTGAAATGGGGTGTTGGAAATAAGATTAATTACATTTATATTTGGTGGAATCTACGTGATTAAGTTTAAAGGTGTTGATGTAATGCTGGTTTAAGGGCTTGCGCTTTACAATTTGGAGGAGGAGGTGACTTTAATTTGTGAAATGAGCATTACAAGACGAGTTAAGTATTTCTAAATGGAAACTAAAGAAAATTATGATGCACAAGAAGATACGCCCTCTTCGCCGATTCGGGTATTACAGCAGATATCTGAGGAGGCAGTTAGGGTGGCAGGGGAAGCACTGCAAGGTGCTTACTCCCGTAGCAGCTCAAGTGCCCATTTATTGGAGCCACGACACAGGCGCAGTCAGAGTGAGATTTTGATGGGGGCACATGGGCGTAGTAATAGTTTTCAGAGACTGAAAAGTCACATGCAGAGGGCTTGGCGATGGGGTGGCTTGTCGCGGGAAGATGATTACCAGTATAGTTTCAATCCGGAGGTCTTGGCAAACCAAAAACGCCAGTGGTATCAGCTTCACTCAAAGTCAAAAACCATGGTATTTAATCTCTCTCTTTTCTTTCTCTTCGTTCTATTTCATTTTGTGCTGGCTACATTGTTCTTGGTTTAGGAAGCTGTTTACAGTAAAGTGCACAACATAATCTAGTTTGTTGCACATCTTTCCTAACAGTTTCTTGTTATACTTTTATTTTGGGATATTTCACTTCTAAATTTTTCTATCCTTCAGGAGAATCAATTTATTGTCTTCTTTCTTGTTTCATATTCAATAATTTTATTGTGCGAAGAGAATACTGGCTATAGGGATATAAGCTAGACGGTGCCTTTGAGCTGAAAAGTTCTATCCATCTGGTTTAGAGAATGCCAGGCAGTCAGAACTAAGTAAACAGAGATTGGACTGTGATCCATAGGCCCTTGCATTTTAGTTATAATAAGTTATGCTATACGCATTTATTTTTTAAAATACATTTTAGTTTCAAATTTGGCAGTGCTGCTTGCTGTTTAATGTTCTGAAGCACATAATATTGATAATCACATGAAAAAAATTACATGCTTGTTTCTTTAAATAATAAACGAAAGGATTTTATTGTAGGATCAAACAAAATATAAGGAACCCACCTCAATATTTGAACATTTTATTGTTGCGGGGCTTCACCCAGATTCTAATCTTGAGTGTGTGGAGGATGCATTTATGAGAAGGAAAAAGTGGGCGTTCGAGATGGAAAAATCTGAAATGTTCGACTTCGGAATGATACAACCACGGGCACCTTCACTTCCATCATTGGAATCTCAGGTTTATTTACTGACTAAATTGATTAATTTTTTCTTCTTTTAACAACATGATCTTTATGTACTGTGTGATTGCTGTGTTTTCCTTAATTTAAGCAATCTGCTGTATTAAAATAAAGGCTACTGTGTATTGTGCTATAGGATTTTTTCTGAGATCTTTCTATTTGTGGCATTTTGACCGGGACCTATGTGTTTGCTACAACTGGAATGCAGTTGTTATACCCAATGCATCATTAAAATTGTCGGCCTGTTTGACCAACATTAATTTGGTTGTTCTGTTTCTATGATGATGACTTAGTTTACGTGTCTTTCATTTTGGTCAGTAGTTTATGTTTCTTGATCAATTGTTTTTGCGGTCCTATTGATATATGGGCTGATAATCACTTGTTTGGTCTTTTTTTTCTTTTTGGCATTTGCAGATTCTTTTTAAATATCCTCCTGGGAAGAAGTTACCTATGCGCTTAAAGGATTTAGCCGCCTTCTGTTTTCCTGGGGGTGTTAAGGTTTGATTTTATTGTTATCTTGCTGAAACTTTGTTTACTTGCCCAATTGTTTACTTATAGAAGAGATATTTCCAACTATATGACAATTGACAAGAAGAAAAAGAGTTTCTGATGGAGTTTTTGTAAATAAATGTGATCGATAATCGTTGTCCTACTAGGCCAAAATGTAATCTTGTATGTAGCCCCATATGCTAGAAGTAGTACACTTCTAGTTGCATATCATATAATATGTAGTTGTTTCAAAATGGTGTATGATTGGTTTTCCTATATTATTGATATTTACTTTGATTAGTTAATATCATCTGTTTTATTCAGCATTGGGCAAATGCTGGTCTATCGATTGTTTTATCTACAACATTGTATTATACAGGCACGGCTAGTGGAGAGGACTCCGTCACTAAGTGATCTAAATGAACTTGTATATGGACAGGTATGCCAACCACTGTTTCTGTTATGTCTGCTATAATAATGATATTGTTCTTAAGTGATCTAAATGAATTTGTATGTGGAAATATGTTCTGTTATTTCTTTGATATTATTCTTAAAGTTAGATCTTATATATTGCAGTGATTTAATTTTACCTATAGATTACTCAATGCTGATGTTCCTTTTCGTGGTGCTACAGCTTGAGAATGTGGGTTTCATTGACTCAAACCTATATGTGTTTAAATAGACTAAAATTGGATTGCAGTTTTATAAAATGTATTATATACTGCATATATGGTTGCATGGCATTCCTAATAATTTGTCAAAAGTCATCTCCATGTAGAACTGTTGCCACCTGATATTATTTTATTGTGAATTAAACTTGTTCTCTTCAAAGTATTAGCACCTTTCACCAAAGAAACAACATTTCATTTCTCTACAATCTTGACAGGAGCATCTAAGCAGAGATGATTCATCATTTATTTTTTCACTTAAGGTAATTTCTTTCTTTGTATCTTCTTTGTCACATTTGATTACTTTTGGTACCTTATTGCTTAAAGAAAGCTCTATCTAGATGAACTTCTGTTGCTTTAATTGAATTTTCATTTGTGGTATCATCGACTTAGAAATGGAACTTAAGATTTGGATAATGAAATCAATTTTTCTAAGATATGAGTTACCTTCCCTCTGATTGATTGTCCCAAATATCTGTATTACTCTGTTCTTTTTAACGTTTATCATGTTATTTGTTTGACTAGTGGATTAGCGTCATGCTTATAAATTGTTAATTACTGATGAAATATACTGTAAGCTTTTTACTCTCTCAGATCAATGTTGTAAGCTTTTTTCTCTCTCAGAAAAATTTTATTTGGTCTCTTATTTCAGGTGAATCCATTTATAATTGTTTCTTGGGTTCACTGGTTGAAATCCTTGTTTTCATGTTTTTCAGGTGTGTTTCTGTATGTCTAACTTCTGCACTGTTATGATTCTAGGTTTTTTTTTTTTTTTTTTTTTTTTTTTTTTTTCCTGTCCCTTTCTTTGACTTTGGTTATAGCAAGTCTTTTGAAGGAATTATTTCCTCCTTCCTGTCCCTCCTCCTTTTTGCAGTAATATTCATAGTTTCTTATCGGAGATCTAGTGAGTTCCATATATGTCAAATTGTTCCTGAAAAAATCACTCTATTTATTGCTTTAATATGTGTCCATGAAGTTCACTTATATTAATTTGGAAATGTTTGTAATTTTTAGTGGTAGTACAATTAACCAATTTTTAGTTCCCATAGATTAATGGTCTAAGGAAGATGAGTGGCGGGATGCTGAAAATTTTTATTTCCTGTCAGGTTGCCAACAATGCTACACTTTATGGTGTTTGTTTACAAGTATCAGAAATTGTTCAGAGGCCACCTGGTATCTTAGGAACCTCACCACTGCTTTCTCAGTCTTCTGGAAGATGTAGCCGTTTTTTGATTTCTGCACCTCGCTGCTATTGTGTGCTAACAAGGGTTCCTTTCTTTGAGCTACACTATGAGATGTTGAACAGGTTAAAATTATTTTTATTCTCCCTTCTGTGAGCATTTGTTTTATTGATGTCTGTTTTAAGGGAGAAAAATCAATATTGTGTATCAATTAATGCAATTCCCCATATCTTTTGTTGGATGCAGTATAATTGCACAGGAGCGCCTGAATCGGATAACACAGTTTATTAATGAAATGACTCTCACTGAGTGCACCCCTTCACCGTCCAAACTACATGATCCAATAAATGGCAGTGTTGACTCGCCGAATGGGGAGTATATTAATGAGTGGATGGCCTCTGCAATACCTGTTGACAATGCAGTTGCCCTTACTGCTGCTGCTGCTGGAATTATATCAGATGATGAGATCCCATCTTCACAAAAGATATGGGAACCTCATTCTCCTGAAAGTGTCACTGCTAGTGACGCTTCAGATATTAGTCAATTAAGAGAAATAGATAAGGATGACAAGAAGAATTTGCAATATTTTGATGATTGTGCATCCGAGGCCTCAGAAAATCGATCTGATTATTTGGAAAGAATATACGGAAGCTTAGAGAACGGCCGAGCTTCTCCAGAGATTGGGGCACTTGCTAGTTCCAGGACCAGCACATTAGAGCGTCTTGCAAGTTCTGAATACCTATTCAGGTGGTAGATTTATTATTATTCCGTGATTAGCTGCTATTTAAATATTGACAAACTAAATTATATAATTTAATCTGTTATATCTGTAGACACTTCACATCAGTAATTTAATCATCTTCTTTTTTAATTTCCTGCTCTCCTTTATTCTGAATGTTTCTTTATTCTTTAACCTGCTTCATTTCCTCTGTGACAATATCAGTAATATATTCTTATTTTTGGCAGTCCAGCTAGAAGCATGGCATCAGAGGATGAAGATGATGATCTTTTCCCAAATCATGAAAAAGAATTTGTGGATGATTTGATGATGGAATGGGCTAGGGTAAGTTTATTGTTATTGCCCATTTTACAGAGTTATTGAGTTGAGGTGATATTTTGACTACCCTTTGACTATCATAGATTTTTCGTTTTATAGGATCATAAGAATGATTTGCTACAAATAGTTTGTGGTTATCATGCTCTCCCAATTCCACCTAGAGGAAGTGGAATAGTTTTCCAGCCGCTCAAGCATTTGCAGTCTATTGAATACAGCCGACATCCAGTTTCTGCCCTTGGCATTTCGGAAAAAGATTTAGATACAGTTGAAGCTGCTGAGGTATTCCTTTGGTGTATGATTTTTCTTAATCTATGGTCTATATGCATATGTACCTGATATTATTTTTATTCATAAAAAGGTCAATGGAAAGTTGACTGTTGCAGAAGAAGCTGTTGCACTCTCATTATGGACAACCGCAACCATTTGTCGAGTTCTCTCAATTGAAAGTGTAAAGACATATCTAATCACAATCATTTTGGCTTTAGTTGCCCTTTTTCTTTATATTTTGAGACTGATGTGTTGCATCCCTATTCAGAAGCAATGGGAAACATTTTCATACTGAGATTTGAATTTGCTATTATACAACTTCCAGGTTTTGGCACTGGTTGCAGGAGTATTACTGGAGAAACAAGTGGTAGTAGTGTGTCCTAATCTGGTGAGTTGGTCTTTATTTTTTAAAATAATTATGTGTCATCACTAGTTTTCTTGTGAATATAGTTTATATTTTATAGGAACCCAGAATGAGTAAGCAATTATTTTGAGTTAATATCAGTTTCAAAAATTGCAGGGTATTTTATCAGCTGTAGTGTTATCTCTTGGTCCAATGATTCGTCCGTTTCAATGGCAGAGTTTGCTTCTTCCAGTAAGTTAGATAGAATTCAGCCAGCACTCAGCTTTATTTAATTTTATTAAAAAAGAAAAAAACAGAAATAATTGGCTCAATTGATGCCTTTGGAAGCCAAAACTATGAAAATTTCAATAAACTTCACTTCCTTAAACCTGTCTGCCCAAAATAAATCCTGGAATAAAGCAATCACAAAACACCGGGCCAGGTGGTTTTCCAATGGCCACTTCATAATCGAGTTGGAAATTTTTATTGTAACTTCCATATATGATTGGAGGCAAAATCTCATTCATATACGTTATTATATTGAGTGTAGTTTTGATGCCTTTGATGCTGGTGTTGATACATGTAAATCAGTAATAACTGATTTTCTTTTTGCATCATTGATCTTTTACAGGTTTTACCAGGGAAGATGCTTGAGTTTCTTGATGCACCTGTTCCCTTCATTGTGAGTTCCATATCCCTAAGGTTTGCATGCTTATAACATGAATATCATACAATTTAAAAATTGGTACATCTTAAAGAGTGAACCTTATTATGTACAGTGTATGAATTTCCCGACCAAATGATTTCCGTTGATTCGCCTGCTAGTTGAATGTTTGTTTCAAATCTTTAGATTCAAAATCTTAAGCATCCTCCCAGACTAGATAGGTCGAATTGTTGAAACCTGTGTCACTGAAAAAGATTGATCATTTAGATTCTTCAAGACTTTGTATGAAGTTTTATTAGAAAATACTGATATTTTTATTTTGATATTATTTCACAGATTGGGATACAAAAAAAACCTGCTGATTTGAAGATTAAAACATCAAACCTTGTGCTTGTTAATGTTCTCAGGGACCAGGTATGTAATGTTTTTTATTTTTTATTTTTAATCTTTTCTGGAATTACAGATTATATATGGATTGGAAGCATTCTAGTATAGTACTTATTTTTCTTCTTTCAACAATTACAGACTACTGTTTTAATTTTTTCTTTTTAAGGTTTGATAAAATTTCCTATCAGACTAGCAAAATGNAAAGAGTGAACCTTATTATGTACAGTGTATGAATTTCCCGACCAAATGATTTCCGTTGATTCGCCTGCTAGTTGAATGTTTGTTTCAAATCTTTAGATTCAAAATCTTAAGCATCCTCCCAGACTAGATAGGTCGAATTGTTGAAACCTGTGCCACTGAAAAAGATTGATCATTTAGATTCTTCAAGACTTTGTTTGAAGCTTTATTAGAAAATACTGATATTTTTATTTTGATATTATTTCACAGATTGGGATACAAAAAAAACCTGCTGATTTGAAGATTAAAACATCAAACCTTGTGCTTGTTAATGTTCTCAGGGACCAGGTATGTAATGTTTTTTATTTTTCATTTTTAATCTTTTCTGGAATTACAGATTATATATGGATTGGAAGCATTCTAGTATAGTACTTATTTTTCTTCATTCAACAATTACAGACTACTGTTTTAATTTTTTCTTTTTAAGGTTTGATAAAATTTCCTATCAGACTAGCAAAATGACTAATCTATCCTTGCCCTCATTTTTTGAAACCAAATTAACAAAATCCCCTTCTTTCTTCCCCGCCGCCTTAAATGGAACGGCAAACTGACATTGAAAATACTTGTTATTTCAGAAATTTGAGGGGAATTGGTAATTAAGGAAACTGCAATAAACCCTTTTCTTTATTCATTTTTGAAATAGTTCTAAATCCACTACCCCTTAATAATAGAATTATATCTTATGAAAGCCTAGTGGGGAAGTGTCATAAATTCCTGAAGCTGTTTGATTGATTATAAATTTTTTTATGCAAAAGTTTATAATTGTGTATGAAATGGTTAAGAGGATTTGATGTGTCCCAATTCTTGTTAACTTTTTGTGTTTTCAGGTGAAGATGTGTCACTTACCGTCACTTCCTCGACAAAGAGAGCTTGTCTCTGAACTCAGACCAATCCATGCTAGATTGTCCTTTGAAAGTTCAATTGCGAGAAGGCATCCCGTATATAAATGCAGCGAAGTGCAGGTGTTTACAGATTTCTGCCACTCAGATTCAGCTTGTTTGTTGATATGAATAATAATATTTGAAAGTGTTTTTTCAGGCTGAAGCTGCAACCCAATTTTTGAATGTCATGGGGCGCTATATGGAGTCTCTTTGTTCCGATTTTAGATCTCATACAATAACTAGTGTACAATCAAACAATGACAGGGTTAGAAAAATCTACTATCTAACTTGGCCTAAATTCTATCATGTTCTTCTTTTTAACTCATGAACTTTTGGGGTTTTAACTTTCCAGGTTTCTTTACTTCTTAAAGATAGTTTTATCGATTCCTTTCCTGGTAGGGACCGGCCATTTATCAAGGTAATTTTGCATTTTAACTGTTAATTTGTTCAGTTTTTTTTACTCATTCAACTTATAAGCATTAGAATTAATAGGTTTTCTCTGATCACCATTACAGCTTCAGCGTGTAATCCCCAGTTTTATATTACTTATGCATTGCTTGCTTATTCTGGTTGATGCAGCTATTCCTAGAGACGCAACTGTTTAGTGTTCTATCTGACTCGCGTTTATCAAGATTTGAAAATGGCTACTGCTAACGGTATCTCTTTAACAAGTTCATGTGTTGGGTAAGGATATCAGATAATTAACTAACAGCAAATTTGAAGCCATCAATTGTGAATTGATTTGCAGCCTGAAGATTTTGTGTTAGTGATTTTTGTAACATAATGTTATTGTAGTAATAATCGAAAATGCCTCCCACCAATTCACCAATACCAATTATGTCTGTTGTACAACCTACCACAAATCATCCCTTTTTTTTCAGGATATGATGATGGGGTTACTCAAATCTGTCTCACATCAAATTCTTGTAAATGTGAAAGTTATATTTTATTTGTAGATTGACTTCCTTTTTAATCTAATTGTTGCTTTTGTTTATATATGCATTTGAGCTTTTGTAGGCTCTTATTTTTGTTTTAAGTAGTTTCTCTTTTCTTCACGTTGTTTTAAGTGTAAAGAGTCAACTCAGTGCCATAAGGAGGCTTATTATTTGAAAGGAAAAAAGGCAAAAGATTCTTTGAACAAACCGTTTTAGCTTGAATTTAACATCAAGTGTTGTAAATGAAAATGCATTGAAACCCACTGTTTAGTTTTCAGACAACCTATGATCCCATTAATTGGGGTTTCAAACCTGAACGCAATTTCTTACAATATCTAATCTCAGACATTATACAATATATTATCGAACATCAATTCACTACTAAATAGAACAATAAAATCTTGGACAAGGAGAAGTTGAAATTGTTTATGGCTTTAGATGCACAGATATTCCGACTGCAAATGGCACCCACTAAGAGCAATCCTATGCAAGCTTCCTCATTACTGTCAAAGAAACCACTTCAGTAGTAAATTCAAAATGCATCAATTCATTTAATTGTGAAGAGGAGAAAAAAAAAAAAAAAAAAGGCAAACGTACAATCTACTTGAAGAATTGAATTGATTCATCTCATCACCACTCAATTTCTCTTATGATTAAAATATCTGATTGGTATGGCAGATCATAACAAACAAGAGTGCATGCAGCTCTGGTGAATTTTCGCCCATCTTAGTTCAAGTATTACCATCAAATTTACAGATAAACGAAATTTCTTTCAGAATATATTACCATTGAAAACCCTAAATTAAGTGGGCCAAGGGAACTAAACATGTATATCAGATTTGGAGTACAAAGTTCACTTATATCCACAACAACAAATCATATTGACAGCGTAATGATACCTTCAGCATAACCACGCTTAGTTCAATGTATTCCTTGGGTGCTCAAATTAAACTCGAGGTGATTTTAAGGTAGCATATACTTAAAACCAGCTGCATATAAGTGTAATAACATAAATACAAGGCATTAAATAAAATGAAAGAAAAAATGACAAAATGCTTAGGAAAAAAAAAAAATATATATATATATATATATATACTTAAAACCAGCTGCATATAAGTGTAATAACATAAATACAAGGCATTAAATAAAATGAAAGAAAAAATGAAAAAATGCTTAGAAAATATATATATATAAAATGAAGATCCTAACTAATATCCCACATATATATATATGTAAAATGAAGATCCTAACTAATATCCCATCACTGAATAGCAAATGAACCCAGGAAACCAAAAGACAGGGAGAAAAAGTAGCACAAGTACACTACCACAATGGGATCATTTCTCTTCGTCCTCAGAATCAGACTTTGCAAAAACTGTTTCAGGCTGGGTTGCTGCATATGCTGGAGCAATGAATTTAGGTTCTTTCGCTGCAGCATCAGCATACTTTAGTATAGCTTCTCTAGGATCCTCCTCCATCCATGTCTCCTTGATCATTCCCCCTTGCTGCAAGGGAACTCCATACGTTAGCAACTCCCACTTGCTTCACTTTCATAACATAAAAGATCAAAGAAAAAGATACAAGAGCACCAATGAGGAAAACATCATACCTTCATAAGGTACTGGGTCAATAAGCTTCCCTTACTTGCACCAACTCTTCCACCATAACCAGGTCCTGTAATGGGAAGCTCAGGCTTATGGGACTTAATAGGGTCCTTCAATGTTTTCTCTCGCTGACGCTTACGACTTGGCTGATCTCTGAATAAGGGCAATGCATGTGGATTGTGAATCACAGGTTGTATCTCAAAATCATCAACAGATTTTTTCCTTGGTGCTCGTGCAACACAGACAAGAGCTCCTCGCTCACTGAGGGTGGGGTCATATAATATGTGAGTTCCTCCTTGGCTCTTATCTCCAGCTGTTGCAAAGACCTTTAAGCAAAGAAAGGCAGTTGCATTATAAGTATAAATTCTCATTTTGCACACTGCACAATTCTATGAGTGTGTGTTTCAAAGACGATTCATAGAGGGATTCTTCACACAAAGAAGCTTGAATTCAAGGGTAAAATAAAAAGAAAATGGAAAAACAGAAAAGATATGAAAGCAAAATATTGTATAATATTACCTGATTCAGCTTTGGGTGCCAAATACATTGCACTACACTACAAGTCGGTGATATTCCAACTCTTGAAACAAGTTCAAGTTTTGCTCGATCAAAGAAACATAGCAATCCTCCAGTTGTGCTCTCCCTTTCAACAGATGTACCAGTCAATATAAGTTGTTCGTCAGGACTAAATGCAATATTTGTTTGGGCATAGTGATTCGGAAGATCCTCAAACACCTTCAAAGGCTTTTTCATTTGGCGCAAATCCCAAACCTAACTCAGATTTCATAAATTTTATTACAAAAAGTTTGACACACAGCACAGCATGAACAGATGTATGAGGAAAATGAACACTAATGTTCTGAACGCATATCTATCACTACCTTCAATGAACCATCAAAGCTTCTGGACAGCAGAATTCGCCCATCACTAGAAAACTTAAGCCCAGTTATATCATCAGAATGGGCTTTCTCAACATATATATCTGGCCTGCTTCCCCATCCAGGCTTAAGGTTCCATAGCTGCAAGAGTAAAACAGCCAAAGCATACGTAAGAAGAAAATTGATGCAAAGAAAATGAGAAGATAACAATGCAAAGTGCAAGAAGTTGAAAGCAGTAAAAAATAATCAGAAATTCTAACACCAAAAATATCAAAGAAAGCCTAGAGCTTATCTAGCTTAGACTACTGTCTATCAACAACAAAATGATATCCGATATAACAAGCAATTACCTGTATAGAACCATCTCCAACACCACCTGCAATGCATTTTCCTTCACGGTTCCAAGCACATGTGGTAACCGGAACTCTTCCAGGCCTTGAAAGCTTTGGTTTGATAACCTATCCAATCATGATAAAATTTCCACGTTAGTTTGCAGCCATTTCTTTGGTTACTAAAATTAACGAGAATCTTGTCAACAGTATAGGCACTTTCATAAGACTGAGCATGCAAAACAATAAAAATGAAATGAAATTCAAGAGCATTTAAAGACATTTTTAACATACAGCATCACCACATACTCCAGCTTAAAATAAAAATAAAAAATTCCAAAAACCTCCATCAACATTCACACACAAACATAATATAATATATATATTTTCAAGGCCTTATATTCCAAATCATTCTCAATGAAACCTTTTTAAGAAAGCTTAGAACTGGACCAAGCAAAACCCAGTTAGTTCCACTAAAACATCATTGGAAGCATGTGGCATGCTCTACCAAATATGTTTGAAATTCATAAACTCAAAACTAATTTAAAGCATTTGAAGAATAAAAATTGAAAAAAGAAAAATATAGACTAATTGATCAAGCATAGCAAGCAAATTCTTTGAGTTTTGCATCATCAGAATAAAGGAATGCTTGGCGAAATTCCACTTAGCATATCTTGACCAAATGCAGCAATTAAATAACTACAGAACACGACCTACCTGCTTCTGACTTTTGAAATCATTCACATCCCATAGACGAAGAGATCCATCCTCGGATGACGTCAAAATCGTCTCTTTATTTTTAGGATGCCACTCTCCAGACGTTAATCCGCAAATGTGTCCCTTGGTGTTTTTCAGATCACGAATATACATATCACCCTTCACAAACTCACCTAGGGTGAGCCCATCTCGGTCATAAATCTGAAATAAAAAGAAAGACCAGTGAATGATGACCACATACACCCACAAATAACAATCAAATAATAACAAAAGAAAAAAGAGCACAGTTATGCACAAGTACCTTAGCTTGAGCAGAGCCAGTTACACAGAGGAAACGGTCCGACGTAGGACTCCAGCTTAAGTTACGAACTTGATGACCTTCAAATGGCTCAAGTTGCCTAAAGGATTGTAAACGGGAATTCATTCCTTGAAAGTCATACATTCGCACCGTATAGTCATAACTACCGGAGAGAACTCTAGACCCAGAGTGATCAACTGCAAGAGCTGAAACAACCTGACAAAACACCGAACATTAAATTAATCCCTTTAAAATCTAAACCCTAATTACACTTCAAGAGAAATGAACTTACAAAATTAAAACACAACAAACAATTTAAACACGGATTAGGATACAAAAATAGTACCTTAGTATGACCCTTCAGTACAATCTCGTTACTCATCGGAATCCGATACCGATTCTCCCCTTCCTCTTCCTCCTCCTCTTCATCGTCCGTCTCCGATGCCACGGGAGGCCGCGGTGGCCCAATCATCACAACTCCATCATCATCCTCCGTTTCCACAGGCTGAGGAGGCCGTGGGGGCCCAATCATCACGTCATCGTCATCTTCCTCCGCTTTCGGCGGCTCAGGAGGCGGTGGGGGCCCAACTTTTGGCGCCTCCGAAGCTTTAGGTTTTCGGAGAGAGTCAAGCCAAGCTCTGGGGGAGGATGAGAGAGACGGTAGGTCATTAGTCTTGGAGGCAGCTGTGCTGGTGGTGGTGGTGGAAGGCGGTTGTTCCGATCGGCGAGTGGCGTCGTGGACTTTTTCGAGAGAGGTTTGGGGTTTTGATTGTTTGCCAAACGCGAGCGGGAACTGAGCTCTGATTCCGTCGTATATCTCTGCCTCGTCTTCCATTCTTGGCTATGTTGTGATATTTATGAGTGGGTTATTTTTCAATTTGTGGACAATTTATACGCCATGCTTGGCCACCGTTGGAGTTACTTCACTGGAAGGAGCGATGGTGAAATGACCCATGGGTTGGGTTGGTACCCGAATGACCCGTTTACAAGTTTGGGCTTTTAGTCGTAAAGGCCCATAAGATTAAATGGTCTAAGTAACAGATTAATTTTAAACGAGGAAATTATTTTCAATCAAAGGTATATTTATATAATTTTAATCAAAATTCTCAGATAATAGGATCATAATTTGATGGTAGGATGAATGTAAGTATCAACCACACATTTGGCAAATGCAAAAGCCTAACCCCAAAATATCCAAAATTTCAGGAGAAGCCGCAAACCATAATGTGCATGTGTTTAAGTCTCTGTTGGAGAGCATGTGTGCCTGATGTTTGTCCTTTAGATTTTGTCCACCAACGTTAAGTTCAAAACACCTTCCTGCTAAGCTCCTGCTTTTTTTATAAACAGTGAAGAGACTGCGAAAGAGAGATAGCAAAACATATCATTAAACATTGTTTTCTCCGTTAAACTCTCAACAGTCTTAACTCCTTTTCACCAAAATGTAAGTCACTACAAACTTTTATGATAACTTTTTACTTTTATCATGGATATCAGTTGAGGCTAACATGGTTTTCTGTCGTTGTGGTTGTTCTTTATAGGGAAAATGGTGGCTTGAAGCCAATGGATGCAGAGCAACTGAGGGAGAATGCTCACAGAATGGTGGATTTCATTGCAGATTACTACAAAACTATCGAGAATTTCCCAGTTCTCAGCCAAGTTCAGGTTACGAATTTCTCTCTCATCCTTATATTTATATGGTCTAGTTTCTTTTAAGTTTTTGAAGAGCTCCATTGATCATTACATCTACTCGTGTTTATGTATTATATTGTATGTGTGTGCACATGTGTAAATAAAATCAATAAGCTCTTGAATGTGTTTTCTGTATTTGATTGAAATGCATCAATTTGAATTCTTTTTTCATTTTTTTGGGTAACTCCGTTAGGTGATAAATATAGTTTTCTTCATTAGTTGCATTTCTGTGGTTATTCTTTGCAGCCTGGGTATCTACGTGAACTTGTGCCGGATTCTGCTCCAAATCATCCAGAGTCACTGCAAAACGTTCTTGATGGTGAAGTTACTCATTTGGATTCTCAAACATTTTTTAATTGCTCGGTGAATGTTAATTATTTGAGGAAGATAGTTTCTAGCTCAATTATGACAACTTCTTATGATTCTTTTATTATCTTCATCAAATTACTGTCTTACTTGGTTAAATTTTATGGTTTAAAATTCAGTTATTCTTTTATTTTTTCTGAAGTCTTACGGACAAAATATGTGCATGAGTGCAGATATTCAGGCAAAGATATTGCCAGGGGTAACTCATTGGCAAAGCCCAAATTACTTTGCATATTATCCTTCTAATAGCAGTGTTGCTGGATTTTTGGGAGAAATGCTTAGCGGTGCTCTAAACATTGTGGGTTTCAGTTGGATAACGTCTCCTGCTGCAACAGAGCTTGAGATGATTGTTCTAGACTGGCTTGGTAAAATGCTTAAGCTACCTGAGGACTTTCTTTCAACAGGTAACCATGTGTTGATTGTATTGGGCTTTCTTTTTCTTTTTTATCTTTTTTCTCCTTTTCTTTTTCTCTTGATTTATCAGTTTGACAGTTTGAAGATCTATTAATATTTTTGTTTCAAACTAACAGTTTATATTGAGAAGAAATCCACTAATTCTGCCAATGTGATTCTCGGGATCTGCAAATAGTCTGTGCATTTGAGGGGTCTATGGTTTTTACCAAGTTAAACGAGTTAAAGTCTTACGCCATTTAGTGGCTAAGTTGTTCAGGATGTTTTTGTTAAATGCTGGAACGTCTTGATGTATCTTAGGTCAATTTTTAAATAAATTCTCATTGATAAGAATATTTATTGACCTAAGTCAAAGAGGGCGGACACTGCAAAATGTGAGGTTTTATTAGGAGTGATGAATGTTTTTTTTTTTTTTTCGTGTCTACTAAATCTAAATGCAATAAAGGAAATCCATAATGAGTTAATTTTCCTTTTACTTTTTTTGCTTTGGCAAATGATACTCAGAATATCTAACCACCCCTGCCTGCTCCTATGGGGAGAAGGTTCTGAACTTTATCTTAAGATTGATAAGGTTAATTTAGGATGTTCCAAGTCATTGATTCTGAAAAAGTTGACTGGTTTTGAAAATTTAAACCTCAAAACTCAGCTTGTTTTGAAACTTAATAAATGTTAGTCAGTGAAGCAAGTCTTTGAAGCTAATGATTTATGTTACAGGACAAGGTGGTGGAGTTATACAAGGTACCGCAAGTGAAGCTGTTTTAGTTGTACTACTGGCTGCTCGTGATAAGGCTTTGAGGAGGGTTGGTAAAAATGCTCTTGAAAAGCTTGTGGTATATGCCTCTGATCAAACACATTCTGCTTTACAAAAAGCTTGCCAGGTATCTTATAAAAGAATTATTCTTTTCAAAACCAATCAAATGTTATCCTGAAATGATGTTTTCTGAACTGGGCGATTAACAAAATTCAGTTGATAGAATCTAGAATGTGTTAAACCAATTACTAAGTGTGGGTTCAGAAGGCAAGTTTTATTCTTTAGTGATTTGGCTTTGCCCTTTTTTTTTATTTAAGTCAAAGTAGAATTTGAACATATTATATATGGTGCCGACAGTATTTGTTTTTTTTTTTTTTTTTTTTTTTCTGGCAGTAGGCTAGAGCCTCTGATGACATTTGTTTTTGCCCTCCGTATCATATTTTATAACAATAAAACAATGAATTTATATTACGACTAAACAATCAAGTCCCAAAGAAATATGCACTGCTTGACCATGTATATTGCTTACTGATATCTAATGCCTGTATATTGCATTGTGATGTTGATGTTTTAATGCAGATTGGAGGAATTCATCCAGAGAATTGCAGGGTGCTTAAAACAGACTCTTCAACTAATTATTCCCTTTCTCCGGGTTTACTTGCTGAAGCTATTTCTCGTGACCTTGCTATCGGATTGATACCTTTCTTTTTATGTGCTACAGTAGGTGATAGTTTGTTTTCACCTCTTTGTTTTTTTAGTCTTATCTTTTCATTGGATATTTCACCTGAACTACTAATTGGTAGGAATACTATAAGATACTCAGAAATATTAATGTCCCAGTTTTGTTCCACAAGTTGTGAGTAGATTCACTGTTCATGCTCAACACAATGGGGTTAATTTATGTGAGAGGAGACAATGTTTAGTAAGAAGGATGCCTACCACAATGGAAACAGGATCTGGGTGTTCTGAATCATGCAACATTTTTTCTTTGAAATCGAGTGTGGATTTTGGACTATAATATATTTTGTCCTATTTTTGTAAATGATAAAAAGAATGTTGCCATGTTGATTAGTCATTTTGTGACTTAGTCTTTTACATGCTTGTGTAACATGGATTCATGATAAGAATTTCGATTAACATTTATACTTGCAGGTCGGCACTACATCGTCTACAGCTGTTGATCCTTTGCTTGAACTGGGAAAGATTGCCAAGGTGACATTTAGTTGAATTGCTTAGGGTATTATTATAATGAGTTTTTGCCAAGGTCTGAACCAAAATACAAGCTAAGTGCCAAGGATGATTATAACTGGATACTTTTTGTACAACTAGCATATGGAGAAAACTTGTCATGTGAAAGATTGAAAATTTTCATATTTTATTATATTTATTCAATTAATGCATCATTGAAGACTGAGACAATTAACAATTTCTGTATACACGGTTTCATTGCAGAGTAATGGAATGTGGTTTCATGTGGATGCTGCATATGCTGGAAGTGCATGTATATGTCCAGAATATCGACAATATATTGATGGTGTTGAAGAAGCTGACTCTTTCAACATGAATGCACACAAGTGGCTTCTAACAAACTTTGATTGTTCAGCACTTTGGATAAAGGTATTTGTTTACTTGTTTTGCATGTTGCCATCACAAAATGAAACATATACTTCATGCTTTTATGTGTCCTCCATGCTCTCTGTATATTTTCAGAGGATCTGTATGTTTGATTTTGAATAATTGTTATCATAGTTCAGTGGGAAAATATCCTTTATCTTGTTTTGTCACCTATCACACAAATAATAGACATGCATATAATATATAAACTCAGGCATGCGATGTAGTTCCTTAAAAGCTTTAAAAATTCATAGCTAATCTAGTTTTTTTTTTTTTTTTTTTGCTGCTGCTTCCTTTTAGTAGAATTCTACTTCTAAAATGTAAAACATTAATATATCTTTAATGTTGACATTGTTTTCATGGCAACAGGATAGAAATGCTTTGATTCAGTCCCTCTCTACAAATCCAGAGTTTCTGAAAAACAAAGTAAAGTTTCTTCCAACATGTTCTTCATTGAGTAATACTATACATACATCATTTTCATACAACATTATATGGCAAGATATGATTGACTAATTTTAACTTTAAATTAGTCAATCATATCTTACCACATAATGTTGTATGAGAAATGTTGTATGAGAATGATGTATGTGTAGTATTATTCTTCTTCATTTATACTTGTGCAATGTTTTGGTTGAAGGTTTAAGATGCAAACAACACCACATGCTGGTGTTGCCATGCCTAAAGGTGGCATATTTGTTGATAAAAAAGTGACCTTCCTTTTTTCTTTTTGTTGTATATTTAACTGCTAAAGTTCTTGTAATGTGGCTGATATTTTAGGCCTCTCAAGCAAACCTGGTTGTGGATTACAAAGATTGGCAAATTCCTCTTGGACGTCGATTTAGGTATGCCTTTGAACATTTTTTCTGAAAGAAGCTTATGATTTCCTTGATGTTGTTCTACATAGATAAATACTATTAATGTGTGCACATGTATCTGTTGTCTACAGTCACTTCAAATATAAACTCTCTCTTTGAAGTGCACATGTATTTTTGTCTTTTCCAACTGAAGAAATAAACTCCACGTGCTTTAAAATCATTTATAGAACATTATTACCTTCACTAATCCAGTGCTGGCTCTCAGATCATTGAAACTGTGGATGGTGTTACGACTTTATGGTTTGGAAAATCTACAGTGCTATATAAGAAATCATATCCAGCTGGCTAGACATTTCGAAGGGCTTGTTGCTCAAGACCCGAGATTTGAGGTAGTTGGTGCCTTTTTTTTTTTTTTTTCATATTTGGTTTCACTTCCTATTTTTTGCATCATCTTTTTTTTCATGTTCATATTTTTAAGTTCAACATTTATCACTCTTAAACTTTTGAATCATATATTATTATGGTTCATGGTTAATAATTGATATGGGCAGGTTGTTACCCCAAGAATTTTTGCATTAGTTTGTTTCCGCCTTCTGCCACCCCACAATGATGAAGATGGTGGCTATAAACTGAACCACGACCTACTAGATATTGTAAACTCAACCGGGAAAATCTTCATATCTCACACAGTATGCTTATTACTCTTTTTGTCCTCTCTTTGGTTTGTTCTATTTTTCTGCAAAATGAAACAAGCTCGTTGCTTACAACCATTTTATACAGGTTCTATCAGGTACATACATATTACGATTTGCGGTAGGGGCGCCATTGACTGAAGAGAGGCACGTGAATGCAGCCTGGAAAGTTTTGCAAGATGAAGCCTCTGCCTTGCTAGAGAAAGTCTCAGGATAACCAATGTTCAGCGGCTTTCTTTGATCCCCTTGATTTATGTCATTACCTCCTCGTAACATTATTTCCATAGAAAAATGCTATCCTTACAAAGACCTATACAAAGAGGGTTACAAAGTGACATCATCCAGAAGAAAAAACAAAGAAAAAACGGAAAAAGAGAAAGAGAGAGAGAGAGAAATCATGAAAATCAAGGGTGAGGATTATCTTTGTATATCTTTTTTGTATGTGTCTTTGTAAAACTAACATTGCTCATTTCCATATATAAATACCAAGATTTTATTTTTTTAGATAATAGAAAGGAAAATAAAATTTTGTTTTGGGCTCAGATAGATAAGTGATATGGATACAGCCCAGTTGATCTAGAGCGGGCCAAAGTGGAATCTATAACCATAACCATATGTTGGGCTGAACTAAGTTTGGGCCTTTTAACACTGGAGGGATTAGTTGGAGGTGTTGGGTCTGGGTGCTGCATTTAAAAATGGCTTCACCTGATGAGCTAAGCAGGCTGTGTATACAAATAAGCATCATTCTTGTTACTGGGTTTTATTCCATCCTCTCAATTTGCGAATCGTGATGCAAATTGCAAGAAAGAGACACTAAAATAAGAATAATACTATACATCTCAGATTTTTATATAAAATTTCGCATCTAAACAATGTCACATAATTTGGGATGTACTATTCTATTCTGGTAATAATACTCTGATTCCTTTTTGTTGCCTGATTTTTTATGCTTTTCCAAACTTTTGGTTGGAACAAGGGAAGGCACAAATCAAAATATGTGAAAGTGGTGATATATGCTGATATGCAATCATAATGGTCCAACATATCTGAAAATAAATGATGCATCCAGATAATTCTTTTCAAATCCTTCTGATCTGTACTTGCCACTGAAAATACAGGTCCTGCCTGCGAGCATTCAGGATTGTTTTTGGCATATTCATAAACCAGAGCTTTCTTAATAGCATATCCACATCCATTTATCTTTAAGAAAGGCTTCACTCTATCTACAATGGACCAAACGAAGTATCTACTTCTATTATTTCATAGGAATAGATACTTTTGGATGCTTTCATTGCCATGATGATAGAATCTATATGTACATGGAAGCATATGCCAAAAACCTGATATGTTTTTGCTATCATTCGTATTGCAGAAGTTTCGTGGGCTGAAAAGAAGCCAAGTGTAAACTATTCGATCCACCAAGAAATTCTGGCTGTATCATAAGATTTGTGATTGCATCTATTCTTTCTAGGCCTAAAAGTTCTCTTTTGCTCTGTTTTTTGTCAAGAAAAAAAGGAAAAAGTTTCGAGCCCAGGAATCAGAACAAGGTACTGAAACAAGTCAAATCTTTTGTCCTTGATTGATCACAAGCAATGTTACTTAAAAAAAATTGAACAGAGGAAGTCATCCATCAAAAGTTGATGGTTAATATTTGTCCACTTAATCAAAATGAGCAGTAAATGTGGGAAATGGGAATCATTTTTTCTTGACTCCTGAGTGATCAAAAATTTTAGTCAGCTCTTATTTTTAACTTCTAACTAATGGGTTGGATTGGAACCTTTTCTTGAATGTTTCAGAAAAGGGGAGAATTGGATTCAAATTCTTCATCGAGACTGGTAAAATCCACTAAATCTTCATGTCGTTTTCGTAAAGCATGAACAGGGGAAGGAGGGTGGTTAATATAGCAAGCCCTTTGCCCCTTGGAAACATGGTTTTTCGAGTGCAACATGTACAATTTTACACGAATCTAATTCTCCTTTTCGAGTGTTTGAGAAAAAACTTAAGCACTAATATAAATTGGTCCAAGGAGGATATATTACTCAAATTTCACAATGGCTTTATTCCAACTACTTGCAATTTTAAAAAAAGAAAAATCACATCGATTAATTACCCAATTAATTTCAAATTTACAGTGATTACTAAATTATCTTGATAAGGTTTTTCTGTCATGTTGCCCATGAGTGACAATTTGAATGTTGGATTCTCTGATAAGATATTTTCAAACCCCAACTACGACAAAATAAACGTTTCCTTTCTTTTTCTTTTTTTTTCTTTTTTTTTTAAAGTAAGAATAAGTGTGAACATTTATAAGGATAGAACTGAAACTGGCTGATCCAGTTATAGAAAATTGGAATTGGAAATTCTCGGGTCCAGTTTTGGTTCCTATAGTGCTGGAACGTGGAATCGAAACCGAGGTCCAAGTACTCAAGACTAAATTGTAATTTTTTTAAACTATTGGGGGTGTATTATAATTTTTTGGCAGCGTATTGTCAGTTGTCAAAAAATAAGGGGTAATTAAAGTTTACCTAGGTACTAGGAACTAAAACCTATGTTTTAAGTTCTGATTCCAGAATTTTAGGAACCGATCGATTCTAATTCTAGTTCTAAATCTTAAGAATTAACTAATTTTGATTTTATTTTCGATTTTGGTTCCTGTATCAGAAGCACATCACCCTTACGAATAACACAAAGCTCGTCCACCGATGTTGAGTGGACAGGACTGGAGAGTTGCAACTTAATTATCAGCTTTCTAGCAGTCAACTTGGTCATTATCATTCTCATGGTATTTGTCCATCAATGTCAGTTTCTTCACATGGCGGTGCCTGTATTTTCATCTTCATTTGATTTAACACAATTGTACGTGCAGGACAAATAAGTCCTTGTACAGGCCCAGCAAGAATCAGTCTCCAGGGCCCCTATTTTATACCATATGCCAAACTTTCTCTTCAATCTTTATTGGTTTGATATTTAGTTGGATGTTAAATACCAAAAAATCAATTCTCTAAATTAATTTTCCTTGCCACCAGTCTATATATGATTAGTTCTCGGATGTTTGCGTTATATGCATCTAACGTTAAAAATTCAAATTGGACCCTAGAGCTCATACGGTTCTGATGGAGTTGTCTGTGTGCTGCGTCCATCTCATCCACAATTCTCACTAGTCTGATCGATCAGACTGAGTTTTCTGATGACAAGATGCTAATTAATTCTGTGAATAGTATTTTAGGTGCATGCATGGCTGGAAGATGATGATAAGAATAAAGAAGTTTGCATGCAAATTAAAACACGTTCGTTTTTGCAGGGTTCATTTCCGGACACGTTACACTGTGACACATACCTCCAAATATGTTGAATTTCGGAGCAGGCATCAGGTGAAGCTAGCTGTTTAATAAACTATCAAGTTTTGCCTATAAAACTTTTAAATATAATCTATCTTCCCCAGCAGAAAATTAATTTATTAGGTTAAAAACATATATTGATCAGAACACTGGGTGTGTTAGAGTTTCACACAGACTAAACACATTTAAATCAACTGGTTTATAAGAGGAGATAATCCTCTTATTTAATAAGATCTTATTGAGTAAGGAGTCAAAACCACCTCAAATTCTATTAGTTTTTTCTTAAGAGTTAGAAGATAACTAGCGAGGTTTTACAATCCAACATATATGTTTAAGGATAATTATGAAGGCTTGTCATTCAGGGGCGGACCCAGGCCCTTTGAGGGTAGGCCCAGGCCTGCCCTCAACTTTTAAAAAAAATTTGAGAAGTTTTTTTAAAAGGTAAAAAAAAAGAAAAAAGTTACGTTTTGCCTTTTTTATATTCAAGTTTTTCTTTCCTAATTCCCAACTTCCCTTCCCTTTTACATGCGTATCTGGATTTGGAGTGATTGTAATCCATATTTTTGTAAACCTTTGTGTATTTTACTTTTATTAGAGTTGTGATTGAATTATAAATTTATGTAGAATATTTTTGGTGAATTTGTGGTTATTGTAAATGATAATCATATTTTTTCCTATGATTTTGTATTGAATTTCGATAGGATTTATGATACTTCTCATACAAATTCGGCCATAATTGCTACCTAATTCTATTAATTTGTTTTTGTAGGCCTAAACGATGATTTTGAGTATAGATGACAGTTTTGAGCTTAAATTATGTAACTTGAGCTTGGAAATTCAGAATGACCTGATTTTAGAAGCTTTGGAAAGCTAAGAAGCAGAGCTACAACTTTCATGTTGTGGGTGTTTCCTAATTCTGACTGGACAAGGGTGAAAACTTGGCTTGAAGTCGTGAACAGTACGTTGGAAACCGAAGTAAAACGTCTTTGAATGTGCTTCAGTATTTCTTCCATAACTTGAGCTGTAGACCTTGGATTGTTCTGATTCTTGAACGAGTATAAACATAATTTAAAGGGCTACAATTCATATGTTTAACACTTTTCCATATTAAGACTCTTTCATGCTCAAATGTGGCTCAAAAGATTCTCTCCACGGCAGGGAAAAAGCTTCGCTACGGCAAAACTGCGTCAGATGTGAAAAATAAAACGACGCGTTTTAGCTTGCTAGGACTTGATCCTTAAGTAAAAGAGGTATAAATTAGCACGAAAACGAAAGAAAAAGGGCCTTGGTTCTTCATTTGGAAGGCAACTTTTAGAAGGAGAAGATTATTGAAGATTTGGGCTTCAAATTAGAGAAGATTTCTCCATCTTTTGCTTGTTTTTCAATGATGAATCTTGATTCAGTTTGTTTTTGTTATTTTATTTTGTTTTTGAGTATGAACTGAGTTGTTTAGTTGATGTTTGATGTAACCTTGATACAATGATTCAAATTTATATGAATTGATTTACTTTGAGTTTTAATTTCATGATTGAGTGTTTATCTCTTTGCTTAATGANAACTTAATTATCAGCTTTCTAGCAGTCAACTTGGTCATTATCATTCTCATGGTATTTGTCCATCAATGTCAGTTTCTTCACATGGCGGTGCCTGTATTTTCATCTTCATTTGATTTAACACAATTGTACGTGCAGGACAAATAAGTCCTTGTACAGGCCCAGCAAGAATCAGTCTCCAGGGCCCCTATTTTATACCATATGCCAAACTTTCTCTTCAATCTTTATTGGTTTGATATTTAGTTGGATGTTAAATACCAAAAAATCAATTCTCTAAATTCATTTTCCTTGCCACCAGTCTATATATGATTAGTTCTCGGATGTTTGCGTTATATGCATCTAACGTTCAAAATTCAAATTGGACCCTAGAGCTCATACGGTTCTGATGGAGTTGTCTGTGTGCTGCGTCCATCTCATCCACAATTCTCACTGGTCTGATCGATCAGACTGAATTTTCTGATGACAAGATGCTAATTAATTCTGTGAATAGTACTTTAGGTGCATGCATGGCTGGAAGATGATCATAACATTAATAAAGACGTTTGCATGCAAATTAAAACACGTTCGTTTTTGCGGGGTTCATTTCCTGACACGTTACACTGTGACACATACCTCCAAATATGTTGAATTTCGGAGCAGGTATCAGGTGAAGAATGGTCGTTCCATGCGCTGGCTGTTTAATAAACTATCAGGTTTTGCCTATCAAACTTTTAAATATAATCTATCAACATTGTTCTGAATATGGTAGAGTTTCACATAGACTAAACACGTTTAAACCAACTGGTTTATAAGAAGAGATAATCCTTCAATTTAATAAGATCTTATTAAATGAGGAGTCAAACCCACTCCAAATTCTATCAACTTTTGTTTGAGAGTTAAATATTGAAGATAATTAGTGAGCTTCGACAATCCAACATATATGTTTAAGGAAAATTATGAAGGCCTGTCATTGGCTGGTGAGGCTATTTAAGGCAAGAGGTCCCTTAACCTTAAGCCTGAAGTCTCTTATCTTTCCTTAAAAACGTGCATCATAAGTCAGCTCCTTTGACTATTTGTATATATGCATGTCGTAAATGTCGGCAATTCTATTTCATAAAATTTGCCGACCGTTAAATTAGACAATGCTAAATCAGGTTGTCGTAAGTAAGTCAACTCGATCGTCCTTTAAAATAAATTGAATTAATTCAATCCTAGCTACCTCATCAGCTATGGTCCAAGTGCCTTTTGGTTTTTAAAATGAGCTGATTTTAGAATTCAAATCCTGCTTTGCTTTCAGTGAAAGGCAGGAGACAGCTGCCGACGAAAAGGGGTTTAATATTTTAGTGAACTAATAGTAAGAAACCATGAACCAAAGGCACTTTAATAAAATTCTAAACACATGGATTGGTGCTTCAATTCATCCAGGAATATCCCACATCCATCTTAATTTTATAATATGATTAATTAAAAGTCCAAAAAGCAAAAGTTGTGGGTTCTTTTTGGTTCAAGAAATTAACTGGATGCACTTAAATACGACTTTTATGATCATAATGTTTGTGTTTTGTTAGGTCACGAAAGTTTAAAAGCAAAAAAAAGGTTATATTCATATTATATGCTATGGGTTTTGCTTCATCAACAAGATTTCATAACTCACCAAACTTCATAATACTGTTTTCAATTTCATCCCTTCTGGTTCCATTTGATTAATACAATTAGAATAATTGTTATGTAGATTGTTTTCTTGTAAATATTTGTGATGTATTACATAATGATTCTGATTCCTTGTAAATAATATCTAAGAGTTTGATTCGAAATTCGTTTGAGATAGGCATCTTAATCCGATATATTTTTCCTTTGTAACAATTTTTATGAAGATCATATCATACGGGTATATCTTACAGGATATGGACATCTCTTTATTTCTCTTTTCCCTTGATAATATTCATATAGGATTGCTATGTCTATACAGATAATCAGAAAAATCATTATGTGCCATACTTCAATTATTGTTCTAAGCTATAAATAGTGAACTAATTTTTGTAGGATTAACCTCTTGGTTTATGGTTGGATGACAAAACTTTAACCATCTGGGTATGTTACGTAAAGATTTTGTATTCGAATCTTATAAAGTGGTCAGTTATCACATTTGTGACTTGTTTGACTTATTGGATTTGTAAGGTATTTAATAGATCGTGATCTGAATACTTTTTTATTATAAAACAAAAAAAAAAAATGATAGAATTTGGACTTTAAGGTAGTAATGTATATAGTAATTTGGTAAAGATTTTGATTAAAACCTTATTATATGATTATGATGAAGCAGCCGCCAATCCAGAATTTTTTTTTGTTAAAAAAAGTCATAACGTATACTAAACCGTGGCTTAAATTAAAATCTTAGTCAAAAGTTTGAACAAACATCGTGTTACTGGTAACTATTGACTAATGCTGGTCGCGAGTCACGTTTTATCTAAAATTGGCAGGGTCAAATCTAATTACAAATTTAACCCCCGAAATTCCCTTATTCCACATTTTGAAAAATGGAGGAAGTTTCTAGTAACGCCGAGCCGACATGTGACGTTAGGCTGAGGCTGAGGCTGAGGCTGAGACTGAGCGGGCAAGATTGGGCGGTCCAAACGGTGGGGCACGTTGGTCCAGCCTCACTGACCGACTGAGTGTGACTGCTGTCCTTTAACGCAAGGTAACAAAATTTGCGATACGTCATCAGCAGATTTTCGTATTACTTTAATTATTTTCTATCGGCTCTTGACAGATTTTATATGGGTTCATATAAATTTCATTAATTAATTATAAATATAAATTTTATTAATTAATTATAAATTGATCAATTACAAATTTTTAAGATAGAATTTTGTAAAAAAAAAAATTAATATATTATTATTATTTTTAATTAGTTGTTATAACTTATAAGTTTAATTATGTAAACGATTCGTCTTATTTTAATTTATACGACAACAATAAATTGATTAACACCCGAAGATAAAACTATGTACTAAGATGAATAAATACTTGTTCATCTTGGAAATTATTATCTTAATCTCATGCTCGTTTAGGCATTCAATTTCTAAACGTGTATTTATATTATTATTAATTAAAAGCTCTTATTTATTATGATTCTGTTATAAAGATTTTTCCACAAAGATTGAACGAGTATTCTAGCAATGGCAATGACCTTGACAGAGTTATTAGATAGTGTTTTTTAAAGCAAATAGTTCAGCGAATTAAAGGAAGACACGTTGGTATTGTTTAATTAACTCTTTGGGAAGTAATCTTCTCTATTAGGAATTATTGCTTTTGATGAAGGCCAAATCAATAATGGCTTCCAACACAATCCTGGCTGTACCAAATTTAATTGCGATCCAATGATCACTAATTAAATATATTTTATTTCCATATCGAACAAGTTGATCATCAATCAACTACAAGACAATTACAACCTAAACAAATTATTCTAATGTCATCTCAAATTTGTACAAGAAATGATAAACAATAATAACAATGAATATAATCCAACTTACTTGAAACAAATGTTTTAATAACTAGTCCGATTAGGTGATCGGGTCTTAGGTTGATCGGTTTAACCAGTCTGACCAGCAGGTCAGACTGGTGATGTCATCATGCTAACGTCAACATGATATCATCATACCGACATCAACATGAATTTTTTTTAAATTACTATTGCAACGCATGTTAGCATGGTTACTGTTTTAGGCGCACATTAGCACGTATTGCCTCTGGCCTCCCCCCCCCCCCCCCCCCCCCCCCCAAAAAAAAAAAAAATTCTGGCTGTTTTCTCACCTAAAATCACCCTCGTCACCACGACTGGAAACTCCGCCATCTCCTATTCAAAACCATACATTTTATCCCCTCTCATCACTTGTTGATCGTCGGTCATGACAACCGTATCAAATGACTGTCCTTTGGTGGTTTTTGGCCGTTTTGAGTGACGACAACCCCAATCACCACCACCCTTAGACTTACCGGCTACTCCTTACAAAACCCCCAAAGTTTCGAAGTCATTTCACTCACCAATCACCAACAATCATAAGCTAGGGTTTTGCCATTTCTTGGCCAAATTCCGACGATTCCGACACCACCTCCTGATTCACAGTGATCCACCTTTGAAACCCCTCCTAATCTAGATTCTTGTTTGCCCACCAAACATCGGTCGAGAGCCACATCTTGAGTTAACCTGGTTTTGGCAGAAAATCAATTGGATCGGTGGTTCTCTGTAGTAATGTCGATCCAATCGCAGGTGAAACCGAGTTAACTCTTATTTCTGGTTTTTTACCTTGACCTACTCGGCTTAACTACCAATTCCCAGTTAAATCGGTCGGGTTTTAAAACACAACTTGAAACTCCAAATCTCTAAAAAAATAAAAAAATAAAAAAAAATAAAAATGATGATTGGGATTGTGCTCAAAGTTAGTGTTGCCATTTATGCAGCCAACACTTACTGAATGGCAACACTAACTATAATGATGTTAAAAAAGAAAAATATAAAGGTCCCCAACATAGTACATGTTAGAGAGATGGAGAAACAATCATCCCCACCTCAAACCACCCAGCCCGCCACCGCAGTTTCAGGTCATAATTTTCATCTTTTCACATAAACATCCAAAGAAAGTGTGATAAGTGGGGTAGCTGATATGATATTCAAAGTAAAAACAAAATGCTAAATGACTTGGATTGCCCTTGGCCTTGGCATGCTTAACCCCTTACCACCAAACTCTCCCTTATGTCATCACCTTAAAAGCTTGCCATCATGGCTCATGCTATTGCCAATCGCATCACTCTCCATCTCCATTACCAACATCCGTTCAAACTTTATTATATGATAACCATCAAGTTTTGGGTACATAATATTTTACTTTTTAACCCAAAGACAAAAAATCCTCTCTGAAACACATTCTGAGATCCCAATCATGATCTCATCGATTAAATCATGAGAATAATATTCCATCCTCTTTATTCACAACTCGCAAATTCTCTCAAATATCTCTATATAAACAATAGAGATAACATATAAAATAAATAGAAACTAAACATTTGCTAGAGCGGTAGATGTATTTTGGCAAACCGAGTAACCGACCAGTCAAGCCATAAAACACATCCTATTGTTTTGCTTTGAGTCTCGTACTCTAACACGGCAAGTGCTACAACGAAGTAGCGAAAATTAAAAAAGAAAAAAGAAAAAAAAAAAAATTACAATACAAAGAGTAGAAGAGAGAGAGACAGTGTGGTGTTGTGTGTTTTTGTTCCCTCTTAGCTTTTCTCTCTCTCTCTCTCTCTCTCTCGTTTCATTTCTACGTGTTATAATAGTTGTTTGGGAGACGAGAAAGCTAGATTCGGGGGGGCTTATGGTTATGGTTATGCTCTGTTATATATGTTGAATTGAAGAAACAGAGAGCTATATAGTTTTTATCAATCACAGGGTGGGTTTGTTTGTGCCTCGACAATCGACACCAAAACAATTTTCAAGAAAAAACCCAGGTCAGTTTTTGTATTTTCTACAATGGGTTTGGTTTAGTTTTTGTTGATATTTAGCACTTGCCTTCTCTCTCTATTTGTCCCCAAGCGATGGAGAGTGTGAGAGAGAGAAGTGCAATACGGAAAGAAAATAAAATGATTCTCTTTTTTCTTTCTTTCATTTTTAGAATTTCCGCTGGATTTGTTTGTCTTCGTTTTTTGTGTTGTTGATAATAATCTGTTTACTTTTTTGTTGTTATATGCAATGTGTCAATAGAACTTACATGTTGTTGGTTTTGTTTTGCCTCTCATTGAACAGATGGTGAGATGCCCTTCATATGTAGACGATTTGATCTCTTCTTTAGCTTAACTCGACACCGACTGAATTATCTTTTCAATCTCAAAAATCTTTTTCTTCAACAACTCAGCTTATTCAATAATGGGTATCACTATTTTGTTGAATATAATCTCAGCTTCTTATTCAACAAGGCAATCGCATTATGCCCTTTTGAAGGCTATTGAAGGCTTGCAAATTTTGGAAATATCCTCAATTTGCATCAACTTGATACTTTTTCTCGTGTTTCTCTTCATAATATCCGCTAGGCAAATTTTTGTATGCGTGGGTAGAATTAGGATTCTTAAAGATGATTCTGTTGCCAGTTCAAGCCCACTTAGGCGAAGCAGTGTTGATGGAGAAATTAGAGATGTCAAGATTAGTACCTGGTTCAAAATGGCGTTGTTTTGTTGTTTCTATGTGTTGTTTCTGCAAGTCTTAGTTTTGGGGTTTGATGGGTTTGGTTTGATAAGAAAGGCTGTTGATGGCAAGGTAGTGAACTGGTCTGCTCTTTGCTTGCCTGCTGCTCAAGGCTTAGCTTGGTTCGTGTTGAGTTTTTCAGCTCTTCATTGTAAATTTAAGGTGGCTGAGAAATTCCCATTTTTGTTGAGGGTATGGTGGGTTGTGTCATTTCTCCTCTGCTTGTGTACTCTGTATGTTGACGGCAGAGGACTGTTAGTAGAAGGTGCGAGATACTTATGTTCTCATGCTGTGGCAAACTTTGCAGCAACCCCCGCTCTTACATTCCTATGTTTTGTTGCCATTAGGGGTGTTACTGGTATACAAGTGTGTAGAAACTCTGAACTTCAGGAACCACTGCTTCTTGAAGAAGAAACAGGATGTCTTAAGGTCACTCCTTATGGGGATGCTGGCCTCTTTAGCTTGGCCACACTTTCTTGGTTGAATCCACTTCTCTCGATTGGTGCAAAGAGACCACTTGAGCTTAAGGATATTCCCCTTCTTGCACCAAAAAATCGAGCCAAGACTAATTATAAGATTTTGAATTCAAATTGGGAGAAAGTGAAGGCTGAGAATCCTTCCAAGCAGCCCTCTTTAGCTTGGGCAATTCTGAAGTCATTCTGGAAGGAAGCAGCTTGGAATGCTATCTTTGCTGGGTTGAACACCGTTGTCTCCTATGTTGGTCCATTCATGCTTAGCTACTTTGTTGATTATTTAGGGGGAAAGGAAACTTTCCCTCATGAGGGTTATGTTCTTGCTGGGATATTCTTTGCTGCCAAGCTGGTTGAGACCTTAACAACCCGGCAGTGGTATCTTGGAGTAGACATTTTGGGTATGCATGTGAGATCAGCTCTTACAGCAATGGTGTACCGAAAGGGACTCAAGCTCTCAAGCTTGGCTAAGCAAAGTCACACCAGTGGAGAGATTGTTAATTACATGGCCGTTGATGTCCAGAGAATAGGGGATTATTCTTGGTATCTCCATGACATATGGATGCTTCCTCTGCAAATAATTCTTGCTCTAGCAATCTTGTATAAAAATGTTGGAATTGCTTCTGTTGCAACATTGATTGCCACCATCATCTCCATTGTTGTTACTGTCCCTCTAGCAAAGGTCCAAGAAGAATTTCAAGACAATTTAATGGCTGCCAAGGATGAAAGGATGAGGAAAACTTCGGAGTGCCTTAGGAATATGAGAATTCTCAAGTTGCAGGCTTGGGAGGAGAGGTATCGAAAGACATTGGAGGAGATGCGGGATGTAGAGTTCAAGTGGCTCCGGAAAGCTCTTTATTCTCAAGCTTTTATTACATTCATTTTCTGGAGCTCCCCCATATTTGTTGCTGCTGTAACTTTTGGTACTTCTATATTGTTGGGAGCTCAACTCACAGCAGGAAGTGTTCTTTCTGCTCTGGCAACTTTCAGAATCCTCCAAGAACCACTCAGGAATTTTCCTGACTTGGTATCAATGATGGCCCAGACAAAGGTTTCTCTTGACCGAATTTCTGGATTCCTGCAGGAAGAGGACTTGCAGGAAGATGCAACCATTGTTCTGCCACGAGGAATGACGAACATTGCCATAGAGATTGAAAATGGCGAGTTTTGTTGGGACCAATGTTCTTCAAGGTCAACATTGTCTGGAATATCAATGAAAGTGGAGAGAGGGATGCGTGTGGCTGTTTGTGGCATGGTTGGTTCTGGTAAATCGAGCTTGCTCTCTTGCATACTTGGGGAGATACCAAAGATCTCTGGTGAAGTAAGTCATTCTGGAACTTCCATCCTATTGTCGATATTAAATTTTCTTCTTTAATTTTACCCTTGTTTGCTATATATATTTTTCTGTTATTGTTAAGAGCTGGCAAGTTATTTGTCTCTGTTCAATACTTTTCAGGTAAAAGTATGTGGTACTGCTGCTTATGTTTCTCAATCAGCATGGATACAGTCTGGAAATATCGAAGAAAATATTCTTTTTGGCAGTCCAATGGATAAAGTAAAGTACAAAAAAGTTATCCATGCTTGTTCACTGAAAAAGGATTTTGAACTTTTCTCACATGGAGATCAGACTATTATTGGGGATAGAGGTATAAATCTGAGTGGTGGCCAGAAGCAACGAGTGCAGCTTGCACGGGCACTTTATCAAGATGCAGATGTTTATTTACTTGATGATCCCTTCAGTGCTGTTGATGCTCACACTGGGTCAGAATTGTTCAAGGTTAGACTTCCTCAATGTATTAAATGATGCAATTTAGTGAAGGGAATTTGGCTAACATTTGTTGTGGAAATGCAGGAATATATATTGACAGCATTAGCAAGTAAGACTGTGATATTTGTGACCCATCAAGTTGAATTTCTGCCTACTGCTGATTTGATACTGGTATGAAAATGTGGAATTCAGGCTTTATTTCATGCTTTAGAATAGTAAAGTTGTTAGAATTTGTAAAAGGCTTCTTGTTAGTATCAGCTTATATTTTTTACTTTTAATGGGAAGTATTTATTGCTTGTGTTACCATTCTTCAATGTTCTTTGTCATATTTTTCTTTGTAATGTTAGCAGGCCATGTTTTCAGAGGTTATAAGGTGGAGCAAATTCTAGACCAGGATGGTATTATAAACAAAACAGTTTCTAATAAATGTGGGCTTTATTAAACCATGCCGAAAGAAAATTACTGTAGCTCCTAAACTAATTAACCGCGAAAATCAACAGTAAAAAAAAAGACACATAATTACCAGTTTAGTTCTGCGATAATCTTACCTTATCTTCAGCATCTGAAATTGGTAAGTGAAATATCCTTAAACAAAAAGGAAAAAGGAAAAAAAGTATTGAGAGAGATTTTATTTTTACAAGGTTGCTAGTGAAGTGGCTGAATATTATGTTGACAGGATTTTTGTTTTTAAAATTTTAATTAATTTACTATTATCATTATCATTTTTTTTCCTTTAAAATTTTCATCAGGTGCATTATGGTTGTATAAGTAATTTGTGGAACTATTCGCATCTGGTCATTTCTTCTAGGTGCTTCATGCAATCTAAGACCTGTCCTCATGATTTTGGTGGGCTCTTATGAAATCCTACATCTTTGTCTTAAATAAGTGCATTGCTGATTGCACTGAGAATTTGATTTTTTGATTTTGGTAAATTAAAACTACAATTTTCATCTCTCATCTCTGCAGGTTCTTAAGGAAGGCCAGATCATACAGGCAGGAAAATATGACGATCTTTTACAAGCAGGGACAGATTTTAATACTTTGGTCTCAGCTCACCAAGAAGCAATTGAAGCCATGGATATTCCAAATCACTCATCAGAAGATTCAGATGAAAATGGGAATCTGGATGGGTGTTCTATACCTAGTAAAAAATGTGATACAGCTGAGAATGATATTGACAGTTTGGCAAAGGAAGTGCAAGATGGTGCATCAGCGTCAGAGCAGAAAGCAATAAAAGAAAAAAAGAAAGCCAAACGCTCAAGGAAAAAGCAGCTTGTTCAGGAAGAGGAAAGGGTAAGAGGAAGGGTTAGCATGAAGGTTTACTTGTCATATATGGTTGCAGCTTATAGAGGCTTATTGATCCCACCGATAATCCTTGCACAAGGATTGTTCCAATTCCTTCAAATAGCTAGTAGCTGGTGGATGGCTTGGGCAAATCCCCAAACCGAAGGAGATCAAACTAAAGTTAATCCTATGGTCCTTCTGGTTGTTTATATTGCCCTTGCTTTTGGAAGCTCCTGGTTTATATTTGTCAGGGCTGTTCTGGTAGCTACATTTGGTTTAGAAGCTGCACAGAAATTGTTTTCAAAGATGCTTAGAAGTGTGTTCCGAGCTCCTATGTCATTCTTTGACTCTACTCCAGCAGGAAGGATATTGAATCGTGTAAGTTTTTTTCTTTTTGCTTTATGGTATGACTATTTTATTCTCTCTCACCATATGATGTCGTAATCATTTGTAACCTTATAGGTGTCTATTGATCAAAGTGTCGTGGATCTTGATATTCCTTTTAGACTTGGTGGGTTTGCTTCAACAACTATACAGCTTCTTGGCATTGTTGGTGTAATGACAAAGGTTACTTGGCAAGTATTGTTGCTTGTCATTCCAATGGCTGTTGCATGCTTGTGGATGCAGGTGACTGATTATATTTCTCTCTGAGTTTGTGGTGTCATTCTTGGTTCTCCTTCTGTGGACTTCTGTTTTTGCCTTTTTATTTTACTTATTTACTCATCAGAAATAGAAGAAAAAGACATTAAATATCATTGTATTTGAATGCAGAAATACTACATGGCTTCATCAAGGGAGCTGGTCCGTATCGTTAGCATCCAGAAATCTCCAATTATCCACCTTTTTGGTGAATCCATTGCTGGAGCTGCTACAATAAGAGGTTTTGGGCAAGAAAAAAGGTTCATGAAGAGAAACCTTTATCTTCTTGATTGTTTTGCTCGTCCATTCTTCTGCAGTATAGCAGCTATCGAATGGCTTTGCTTACGTATGGAATTGCTTTCAACCTTTGTGTTTGCCTTTTGCATGGTTTTACTTGTGAGTTTTCCACATGGAGCTATTGATCCAAGTAAGTAATCATATCCTTGATTATTGAATCATCTGCTTAGTCATCATATGTCGTTTGGTATGGGTAACTTGTAATCTTGGAATGACTATTTGAAAGATAATGTGTGCATGTGGATGAAAAAACGCTAAGTTAGATAGCTCATGGTTTTGTATTCTGCCATTTGGTTTCTTCTGGCATGGCTGTTTATATACTGTATTGCTCCGGTTGCCCTCCAGGTTTTCTTTTTAATGGATTTTAAATAACCATAATAATGGAGATGTAAGTTTGTCAATTGTGATAGTATGCAGCTAAGCCCACTACTTCTTTTATACAGGCATGGCAGGCCTTGCAGTGACATATGGCCTTAATTTAAATGCACGTCTATCACGGTGGATACTTAGCTTTTGCAAGCTTGAAAACAAAATTATTTCCATAGAGAGGATTTATCAATACAGCCAAATCCCAGGTGAAGCTCCATCATTTGTTGAGGACTCTCGACCTCCATCCTCATGGCCAGAAAATGGAACAATTCAACTGATCGATTTAAAGGTTTGCAGATCTACCTCACTAAAGGCACTTTTCTTTCTGTTTTGATGATAAAGTGTAATCTTTTGGCATTGGAAATTTGTTCTTACATGATCCAATCAATTTGTTAGATAAATTTTGATAATTTTGATTGCAATGTATGACTGCTTTGGTTTTCTTGATTAATCTGAAAGGGAAGTGGATAGCTAAGGATCTAACAGTGATATGTAAACTCTGACAATTGGTAGAAAGGAATATGAAAGGGGTACAAAAAAAAGAGATGAAAAGAAGTTTTTTTTTTTTTTTTTGTATTCTTAATGATTGTGTTTTTTTTTTTTTTTTTGTATTCTTAATGATTGTGTTGGTTCACAAATTGCTGACATTCCCATTTCTATTTTGAAGGTTCGTTATGCTGAGAATCTTCCTGTGGTGCTTCATGGAGTAACCTGTGCATTTCCTGGTGGAAAGAAGATTGGCATTGTTGGCCGTACTGGGAGTGGAAAATCTACTTTGATTCAGGCATTATTTAGATTGATTGAACCAGCCGGTGGGAAGATCATTATAGACAACATCGATATCTCAACAATTGGCCTTCATGATCTCCGAAGCCGTCTTGGTATCATACCGCAGGATCCTACTTTATTTGAAGGGACCATCAGATGCAATCTTGATCCCCTTGGAGAGCATTCAGACTGTGAAGTTTGGGAGGTATATATCACACATCCTATGTGTATTTTGTATTCTTATGGTTGATGAGGCATAAATGCTGTGTTTGTATAAAATCAGAGGTAGGTGTTTTGAATAAAAGTTCTTGAATTATAATTAAGTTCTTAATGTTTCTTCAATCTCTAAAATAACTAATTTGTTTTACTTTGATACCCTAAATTATGTATATTGTATATGAAATCTTGTCCTCAATTTTTTTATTAGGTTCCTTTTCATCTTCTTTGCCTATTTATTCTCAAATGACAGATTTTTATTCTATCAAAGTAGTCATTGGCTTTCAAATAAGTTTATTTCCAAAGCATAATGTTCTGCCCCAATTAAGTTTTGGTCTTTGATGGGACAGGCTCTTGATAAGTCTCAGCTTGGAGAGATAGTTCGTGCAAAAGACCAAAAGCTTGATACGCCGGGTAGGTTTACAGCCATCCAATATTGCTCATTATTGATACATCATTTTTGTTTAGAGACTGATAATTCATCGGTTGCATTTCAAATTAAAATTTGCAGTGCTGGAAAATGGAGATAACTGGAGTGTGGGACAGCGTCAACTTGTTTCTCTTGGTAGGGCTTTACTTAAGCAAGCAAGAATACTAGTGCTTGATGAAGCAACAGCATCAGTTGATACAGCAACAGATAATCTCATCCAGAAGATTATCCGGACAGAGTTTAAGGACTGCACAGTATGCACCATTGCTCATCGTATCCCAACTGTTATTGACAGTGATCTGGTTTTGGTACTAAGTGATGGTACGTACATTATATTTGTATCTCATTAAGTCAAAATTTTCTATCAGTTTGACACTAGTTTAGTGCTGACAGACCCATGCATGTATGCAGTTCCCGGTAATCATGGTTTTTGCTAATTTGTTCAGGTCGAGTTGCAGAGTTTGATACTCCAGTACGACTTTTAGAGGATAAATCATCCATGTTTCTAAAGTTGGTAACGGAATACTCCTCAAGGTCAAGTGGCATTCCAGATTTTTAAATTCGAGGGCATGCCTCAGAAACCTTGAAGTCAGTGGCAGCAAGAGCAAGAGGGAGTACCTAGAATGAACTGCTACTACTATTTGCTTTAGACTCACTCGAAAACAAAACCGGAGGACAATGGCGGATGTGATGCTATTGAACCAGAGTACCATCGGAGGAAAATCGTCTCTTGTAGTTCAAGTTGATTATGCGTTAATTCATTCCCTCAAAGCATAATTGAGGAATTCATACACGAAGAAAATAAGTCTGGTGGGGTAGAGATTGAGAATAATGACATGGAAGAAGAACGGCTGGTGATACTTGTTGATCAGATCAATCTTGAATAAGTAAAGTAGGTTTTAGAATGAAGAAGGGTTCCTATGTTGTTAGCAAATTTGCAGAGATGAACTAGTGAATGTCAATTCCACTGTTTCTAGTGGCAAAATTCAGTTTAAGCCTACGAGGCCATAAATTTTGTTAATGTTAAGCTTTCATTGCTTTTCCTTTGATGAATGCAAAATATCATACAAGCAATTCCTGTGCTTCTAAAATGGTGTTCAAAATATTAATGTAAAACCTGCTTCAACTTCACATAATTCTTTAGGTTTTTCAACTTCAAGCACTGCTCATTCTACTTCCTCACAGTATGTATTGATTCTTTTATAAAGAATTATGAAGAGTAACATTAAATTTTAATTTTAAAATGGAAATATTTTTGTCTATTTAGTTTCAAATGATACTAAAATATAAAGAGACAATCCAAAAATTACCATCTACTTTAATACTTTTAATATTTAAACACTTGTTTTACAATATTTAAAATTATTTTCAGAGTTAAAGATTTATAAAAAACCATGTTTTTATAAGAATTTTTTTATACCTTATCAAAAAAAAAAAAAAGATTATAATTTCAAAAAGTCCATAATCCATTATACAAAAATATCTAAACAATATTTTGTATTTAAAAAAAAGAGTGAATCTGTTAGCCATTTCACCGTATAAAGTATGAACTAAAGAAACTTCACTTTTTAATAAATTTTATAGTAACAAATTTATTTAAAATGGGATATATAAGGTTATAAGTAATACAAAATTGTAAGTTTAAAATTCCTTCACATATAAAATTTTTTTTTTTTTTTAAATATCAATAATTATTTTATTCTATATACATTTTGTGTTGTTTAACTGAATGTTTTTGAGATAAATTTTTCTGAACTATAAATTTAATTGTTTAAAATTTTATTTTAGAAATAACGTAGTATAAGTGAAGGGAATGAAATATTAATCTTTTAAAATTGAAAGAAAAAAGAAATAGAGGGCATTTATGAAAGTTATAGGATACTATAAGAAAAAAATTTAGTTTAAAAATTTTAAAATAAATTGTCTTAAAAAATGAGATTTTTTAGTTCCTTAGTTGGATATCAAAAACTGGGCCCAAGTGAAACCCGACCCAAATCCAAATTAGTGCGCACCCCATCTCCAGCTCCAACCATTGTACATGTACTCNGTAACGTAGTATAAGTGAAGGGAATGAAATATTAATCTTTTAAAATTGAAAGAAAAAAGAAATAGAGGGCATTTATGAAAGTTATCGGATACTATAAGAAAAAAATTTAGTTTAAAAATTTTAAAATAAATTGTCTTAAAAAATGAGATTTTTTAGTTCCTTAGTTGGATATCAAAAACTGGGCCCAAGTGAAACCCGACCCAAATCCAAATTAGTGCGCACCCCATCTCCAGCTCCAACCATTGTACATGTACTCGAAGCAGACTCTGTGTATCTGTGAGTCTCCGGCAGCTGGGAAGGAAACATGCAGGCCGTTGCTAGGCGATTAGGGCAACAATCTCTAAAGCCCTCACCATCGATTTCATCTTTCCAATCCATTTACCCTCTCTCTGATTACTGTAACTCCATCATTTCCTCTTCTTGTTTTTCCATTTAGGGTTAGGTTAGATCCTAAAACTTAAATCAAATTTAATTATTGTTTAAATTTCAGATTATGGAGCTGATCATCCGAGGTATGGATCCACTTTGGTCTCCGGCAAGGGTGTGGGCCACCTTATTCGCAAGGGCACTGGTGGAAGATCCTCTGTTAGGTATTCTTTTTCTCTTTTATCTTCTCATTCCTTGCAAGATTTGGAAAATCAATTTTTGGTATTGTTAGTTTAATGTGATCGGTTAATTAATTTGTTGAAGAATTTTATTCTAGGTTTATGAGATATTTTGTTTTGCAGCGGCATTGTAGCTACAGTGTTTGGAGCTACTGGGTTCCTTGGTCGTTATGTTGTGCAACAACTTGGTGAGTTATATGTGAACTGGCTATTGCTTTTATTTGCTGTAATGTAGGTTTACGCTTGCACAAATTAAGTTCAATCGTGTTGATTTCTTGCTGGCACATTTGTTATTTTAACCGTCAAGTTTGTTAGTTATTTTTTCTTTTGAATGTATACACTACTTTTTGTTCCAGCCAAAATGGGATCTCAAGTGTTGGTACCTTTTCGGGGTTCTGAGGATAGTCATCGTCATCTTAAGTTGATGGGAGATTTGGGACAGGTGGAGTAGTATAATATCTTTGTCATGTTATCCCTTATATATATATTCATTCAATCAAATATGTGAAATGTGATTTTTTTATTTTTTTTATGTTTATCTTACCCAGATAGTACCAATGAAATTCGACCCAAGGGATGAAAACACTATCAAGGCCGTAATGGCAAAGGCTAATGTTGTTATCAATCTTATCGGTACACATTCATCTTATGTAATCTTACCTATTAAAGCCTTATAATCTCAGAGTCAGTGAATTAACTAAAGCTTAGTAACTTTGCTTACTGGCAGGAAGAGAGTACGAGACAAGAAACTATAGCTTTGAGGAAGTGAACCATTCTTTGGCTGAACGATTTGCCATGGTAGGCTTCTGCACATTCATTCTTAGAATGTATAATTTATGTTCCAACTTTAGTAAATTTGCCTACTTCTCTTCAATTTAGGAGTTTGAGCTAGAACTATTATTGAACAATAAAAATGCATGTATTTATTGGAGACTAATTTGCGTTAGACTTCTCACGGATCCTCATGGGTGATTGATTATGTTGTTCTTTTTTATCCTTCTCCATTTAACATGATAAAAAGGTGATTTTTTTTATTATATTTATTAGTTTATTAACACAATGTTATATTAACTTAATAATTTAACTTTCTGGGAAAAATAATGGTAACATGCAGATTTATATTGTATTGCTACATTGCGTTAGTTTGATGCTCATCTCTGGTGTGTTTGTTACAAATTACGAGTGTGGTTGGCTGCAGTTGTGATCTGTCAATCAGTGATCTTCTTTGTGGACTAAATTATCCAGTGTGCAACCTTCATTGAGTTCGTTCTAATCTTAGCTGAATCATGGTTTGTGTGTCATATTATGAGAAATCTGTGCCCATTATCATCTGCTGCAGTTGGCCAAGTTTAGTACTTGATTTTGCTATTCCTTTCTTTTGGTTATATAATTTGATGGATCTTCCTGTGTTCTGCCAAATTTCTCCAGATTGCAAAAGAACATGGTGGTATCATGAGATTTATTCAAATTTCTTGCTTGGGGGCATCTCCATCATCTCCATCAAGATTGCTTACTGCTAAAGCCGCTGCAGAGGAATCTGTTCTGAGAGAATTACCTGAGGTAAACTATAACTTTTCTTCTTAAGAGCTGAGCCGATGCTGCCGGTTGCTCATGAGTTCTGTTAAGTAGCAGTATGGAGAACATGGTCACTCTTAAGTGCAAAGCAACTTATCATTCTTTAGCCTGTGTTCATAGTCTAAAACTTGTTTTCTTATTATGCTGATATTTTGTAAGATCTCCCTGCTCACTAGTCAGTCTCAAAGTCGGGTAGGGTTAACACATTAAGAAAAAATTATCAAAGAAAAATGCAAGTAGATAATACTCAGGGGCGGATCCAGCCCACTTTTGGCCCACCCTCAATTTTTTTTTAAATATTAATATATATAATTTTTGGATTTTGGCCCACCCTAACAAAAATATTAATGGACAAAAATATTAATATGTAATTAGTTTTTATTTTGGCCCACCCTAAAAAAATTTTCTGGATCCGCCACTGATAATACTGGTGAGAACTGCTGTAATAGCATATTTACATTGATCATGGCCCAACCAAATACAGGTTAGGTCATTGTAATTAATTTGTAGTAAATGGTCCTGGATTTTTTTTAGCATGTCACTTGGGGAAAACTCTCTGAATGTTGCCAAAACGATCTTTTGCTTTGAGAATATGAAGTTGTTAAAATTTTCTGGGAGGCACAATTTAAATACACTAGAAATGGAGAGCAATATAGAGAATCCGGAAAGAAGATTGAGAAATCGTGTCAGACAATTTCCATGCAAAGTGCTAATAAATTGAATTTAGGTTTTGGCAGATGGATACACCACCTAAAATGTGGATCACCTCATATGTCTATAATTCAGATGTTACCTTGCTGCTTTCAAATGCAGGTTTCTAAAATAGAATGTTATTTCTGTAGGCCACAATTTTGAGACCTGCTGCAATGGTTGGAACGGAGGATAGGTTATTGAATAGGTGGGCACAGTTTGCTAAAAAATATGGCTTTCTTCCACTTCTTGGGGATGGATCTACCAGGTATGTATTGACACATCAACTGTTATTCTGGTGATAGAAAATTTACTTTAGGGAGTTTTTATTTCTTGAATAGTAAGTTGCAGGCCTGACATAGAATATTTGTTTTGAACCTTTTGTTGATACTGTCCCCACATTACCTTCTTTGCAGAATCCAACCTGTATATGTTGTAGATGTTGCTGCTGCAATTGTTGCGGCCTTAAAAGATGATGGCGCCAGCATGGGAAAAGTTTACGAGCTGGGTGGACCAGAGATCTTGACTCAACATGAATTGGTAATCTATCCTTGTTTCTAAATTTCTTGCAGTATAGATTGGTTGATATTACTGAATCACATTGCCTTGCAGGCAGAAATCATGTATGATGTGATCCGTGAATGGCCTCGCTATGTGAAAGTTCCTTTCCGTGTTGCAAAGGTACTTATGTAACTTTTGTATTTGAATGATTTGAGGAATTGTCTTTTCTTGAAGGGTGAGAAAAATATTTGATACAGTGGTTTAAGCAATTGCAATTTTTTGAAGTGTGAGAAAAATACTCTCAAAAGTTCTCAAGACAAGCTATTATAGTATAGTCTTTAAATTTATTCCTGGCATTTAGAGTAAGAGGTTGAAGAGCTTGACAAATGATATACATGTAGTATTAAATGCTTATAATAGAACACAAAATTATGTTTTATGTAATATCCAGCGGACTGCAAATTCCCTTATTTCTTGTTAATTATTCAGTAAATAGACGAATTTGTCTTTTTGGATTGTGTTTACCTGCCACAGTGTTCGTGTTATTGTCATGTATTTGTTGCTGGTGTTCTTTCAGATAGTTCCCAGTAACTTTGTTCTGATGTTTTATTTTATGCATTTGGGGGTGTATATGGTTTCAGGCAATTGGAATGCCCCGAGAGATATTACTTAAGAAAGTTCCTTTTCCGTTACCAAATCCTGATATCTTCAATCTTGACCAAATCAATGCCCTTACTTCAGATACAATTGTCTCAGAAAATGGCAAGTTCATTAGTTTTTGCAATATGATATTTTTGCCTTTCTTTTTATGTTTTTTCTCGTTTCAAAGTAAGTTCCCTTGTTGCCGAGTTAGAGTCTATAAGTTTTCTTACTTTTATGGTGGGCTTTGCAGCTTTAACTTTTGAGGATCTTGGGATTGTGCCACATCAGTTGAAGGGGTACCCGATTGAATATCTTATTTCATATAGAAAGGGTGGCCCACAATTCGGTTCTACAATCAGTGAAAGAGTATCGCCTGATTCTTATCCATGATGTTCTTCAGAGCATTTGTTTCAAAAATGTTTTTCTGTAAAAAAATGCGATCCAGTTGGAACCTGGACATGGTATGTGGTACTTTCATTTCCTTACTACCACAAAAAGACGTATAAGTGCATAACTTCTGTTTATTTTACTGATGAAAAAGAATTCATAATCATTTCAGCGACTATATTTAATAAAGTTTGATACTTGTTGATCACAAAATAACTTTTGCAACTTTATTTTTTTGGATTTTATGTAGTTACCAATAAGTTTCTGGAGAGGAGCATATTTCCTTTGAGACTAACTAGGAAATAATAACGTTGTGAAGGGTTCTTCACTAATTGGGATGTATAATTACCGATAAATTCTGGCCATTCGTAATTCTTTAGAAAATTTACGAATGATTTATTTTGGCTGGCTTTGGAGGGCTTTTGTTCATGTTAGGGAATTGTTTTTGCATATGTTCCCATATCATTTTTCAATATCAGTTTTGCTTTGGGTACCTTCAATATTGTTGTTTCAGGTCTAAAACATTTTAGTTGTTGATTCACAATTCCTCTTTGCATTCTTTATTTGGCTATCGTTGGATAATATTTATTCGTATCTTGGTAAGAAAGACCACTTCAGCTTTGATCAAGGAATGCGTATGCTTTTAACTGTGCATAATTTCTTTGAGTAGAGCACAAACATAAATAAGGAATTTGAGGTTGCCACATTACTTGATAATGGAGATTGATACATCTTTAAAATTGATAGTTCATTGACTCAAGTCGAGAAAAACAAAAACAGATCTCCATGTCTATTATCAAACATCAGTTCATCTATCTCATGCCTCCGGAGAGATGCTATGGCTCATTCAGCCGAGTTAATTTGGAAGGAACAAATACTGGGGCTGCAATGTTCGCCCGCCGTGGCACTACTGCTGAGTCCCAAGATTGTTGCCGCATCAAAATTTATGTAAACAACAATGTTCAGGGAGTGAACAATTCGGTATTGCTTGGAAGTGAGGTAAAAATGAGAGATCCTGGAGTTTGCTTGTATTTTGGAGATATCAAGTTTGGTAGGAATCCAAAACACAATTGCTTCTATAGTTCTATGGTAATTCTTCTTTTTTATTAATAGAAAGTCAAAGCCACTTTTTTTTTTTTTTAATCCAACTCGATAAATTCCTGGCGTTTTCAGAACAAAAAGATTACAAACCAATCTAGTCTATTGTGTTGTAAGCTGTTTATTTCTGAATCGCGTAACCTCTCAGCTCTTGACTCGATAGAAAAATCCGCCAGGCGTGATACAGAAACAGTGATTGTGAACAAATTTGAGGATCGAGCATACAACAGGGTCTTTTACACTCTTGTATCTTACGTTGTTCATGATAGCATAGGTACTGCCATTTACAGCCCATTACATCAGTGTGTGTTAGCCATGGTTGAGGCTGCTTATGCAGCCATAAACCTGGAGTTGCACTCTGGTGCCCACCCTCGACTTGGTGTTGTTGATGACATTGTTTTCCATCCACTCGCTCGGGCATCTTTGGATGAAGCTGCTTGGCTTGCCAAAGCAGTTGCAGCAGATATTGGCATTAGATTTCAAGGTAGTCATTTCTAGCAACACTAATTTATAAATGTTAACAAATGTACGTATAAAAATCATTAACATTGTCTTTCACCATGTGATGTTGCAGTGCCTGTGTTCTTGTATGGTGCAGCACACCCAACAGGCAAGGCCCCAGACACCATCAGGCGACAGCTTAATTACTATAGGCCCAACTTCATGGGCAACCAATGGGCAGGTTGGACAACGGCTGAAACTCTCCCTGTAAGGCCCGATGAGGGTCCCAACCAGGTGTCTCGGGCCAGAGGTATAGTGCTGATTGGAGCTCGTCCATGGGCTGCAACTTACAATGTACCCATTATGTCCACGGACATCTCCTCTGCTCGTCGGATAGCCCGAATGGTGAGTGCCCGCGGAGGTGGGCTGCCAACGGTCCAAGCGCTGGGCTTGGCTCATGGTGAGGATTCCACCGAGATAGCTTGCATACTCTTGGAGCCCAATCAGGTTGGAGCTGATAGGGTCCAAAGCCGGGTTGAGATGCTCGCAGCTGAAGAAGGTTTGGATGTAAAGAAGGGCTATTTTACTGATTTTTCCCCAGAAACGATTGTTGAAAAATACCTGAATTTGATATCTGCTAACAGAGACTAATCAAACAAGTGTTTGAAAATTTGATCATAACTAGATGGCACGTCCGCTCGTTGTGCGGGTTTATTTATTATATTATTTTTATTTTATTATCGAATTTTTATATTTTAAGAAATTGTAAACGATTACTGTTTCACAAAAAAATATGTCAAATATTGATTATAATAGAATAATTTGTTATTATTTTTTTTTTAATCGGGTTTTTATGTTTAAAGATTGTTGAGAATCGTTATATGATTGCCATTTAGGATGTCGTTAATTGGTCCCCGTGTTTGCTACTTATTGGTGTTGATAACATAGGGATAATTCACATGTATTCAATTAATGTATGCAGTACAGATCTTTCACATTCCTCTTTTAATTTGATAAAATGTAAGTGATGGAAGATTGAAATGGTCAGTTTGTAATTCAGCAGGAATTGAATTAATTGAATCCAATTCATAGAAGTTGAAAGTCCTGCAACTTATGAAAGTGGTTTTGACACAAATAAATTAATTAATTGAAGAACGAAATAATACCGGAACATTTTAGTGATAGGAATATATTCCCCTTTCAAAGCGAAAGAAGAGTTGCAACACTTTTCTTACAATAATTTGGTACATAATAATATAATTGAAATGACAATTTTGCCCTTCTTAAAATTAGTAGTTCCTGCATTGAATATAAACATTGCTTTGAGGTCCAACAGTTAATCTTTCACCATTTTAAAAGGCTGCCAAGCACCATGAAATGAGCACAAATAAAATAAAATAAAACTTGTCATCCAACACAAACTCTATTCGCCACAAAACACAAACTATTACTGGCTACAGAGTCTACAACAAAAACATGTATAACCTATCTAAGAATGTAAGTTTGCAACTTTTTGATAATAAAATATGCCTCATTGATAAACACTTTGCAATATAACATTGTTTATAAGACACAGAAAAACAAAATAAATGGACAATATATATATATATTTTAAATGGTTCATACTGTGTCTACGCCAAAAAAGAAGTGTTCATTAAATTATTCCGAATGTTACCCCCATCAATGCTTACTGTGACCATCACTGCCAAAGGTTCGCTGCATAATAAATGAATCAAAACTAAGTCAATTTATGTTCAGAAATAAATCAGTAATAATATGAAATTTCATAAACAAACAATGGTTTAAAGTAAGCACTTGTGAGTGGGGCTATGGCTGGCTACACTTGGAATGACCGCTTCCGGTTGCTCAACAGGTGGTGTATAGGTTGTTGTTGTAGGTGGAACAACTCTTAGTCAAGCACAGAGAGAAAGATGAGAACTGTAGTTCCAAGCTCCATGAATATATCAAAAACTAATAATGAAACATGCATCATTGATTCTCCAAAGAGCTTGATGCTGGAGCTTAGTTCGTCCTCAGGTCAAGAGGTTAGTCAAATTAGCCAACTATGAATATGAATATCCAAGAATTTGCCAAACATCGACATATGTTTTAATCCAAACTTAAGTTCTATGCAAAAGTTCACTAAAAAACTTAAAAAATTCTATTTGAAAAACTCTTTCTGCAAGAAGTTTGAGTTTATACTCAAAGAAAATAATGGGTTACTAAATTTAGTCTGGTTGCATAAAAGCACCAAGAAAAAAAAAAATTCAACTGCATTTAGACATTAAGAAAACTTAAAGAGTAAGTGCTTTTAAGATTACACTAAGTTGGCACATAAATCATCAAATTTTTACTCTATAAAAGAAAAGATTACCTTTCGAATATGGTCTCTGCTTTCCATCATGTTAGCTGCTGGGTTTGAAAACTAATCAAGTTCATTTATAATATATAAAAAAAAAAAAAAAAAAAAAACTATTAACAGGATGTTCATTTATCCAATCACACACACACACACATGCACATGTGCACACATAAACACATACTGTATATGCATTAAATATGACAAAGTAAGAGAAAGTTGTGCAATTCTTGGAATCTAATACATTGTGCAATAACTAAAACATATCATATCCAATTTGATGGAGATCTATGGACAAAACCATACCATTATGCTGTGCACTATAATCAATCTATAACTTCACATGGAAAATGTATGAAAAAAATAATACTAGACATTGACGGAGTTAGAATGCCATCACCAATAACCATGCTGGTTCCCAAAAGCACTACTAATAGCAATAGAAGTTACTCACTTCTCAATTGACTGGGAGATTGATACATCTTTAAAATTGATAGTTCATTGACTCAAGTCGAGAAAAACAAAAACAGATCTCCATGTCTATTATCAAACATCAGTTCATCTATCTCATGCCTCCGGAGAGATGCTATGGCTCATTCAGCCGAGTTAATTTGGAAGGAAAAAATATTGGGGCTGCAATGTTCGCCCGCCGTGGCACTACTGCTGATTCCCAAGATTGTTGCCGCATCAAAATTTATGTAAACAACAATGTTCAGGGAGTGAACAATTCGGTATTGCTTGGAAGTGAGGTAAAAATGAGAGATCCTGGAGTTTGCTTGTATTTTGGAGATATTAAGTTTGGTAGGAATCCAAAACACAATTGCTTCTATAGTTCTATGGTAATTCTACTTTTTTATTATTAGAAAGTCAAAGCCACTTTTTTTTTTTTTTTTTTTTTAATCCAACTCAATAAATTCCTTACGCTATATATCATCTCATTTATTTCAGAACAAAAAGATTACAAATCAATCTAGTCTATTGTGTTGTAAGTTGTTTATTTCTGAATCACGCAACCTCTCAGCTCTTGACTTGATAGAAAAATCCGTCAGACGTGATACAGAAACAATGATTGTGAACAAATTTGAGGATCGAGCATACAACAGGGTCCGTTACACCCTTGTATCTTACGTTGTTCATGATAGCACAGGTACTGCCATTTACAGCCCATTGCATCAGTGTGTGTTAGCCATGGTTGAGGCTGCTTATGCAGCCATAAACCTGGAGTTGCACTCTGGTGCCCACCCTCGACTTGGTGTTGTTGATGACATTGTTTTCCATCCACTCGCTCGGGCATCTTTGGATGAAGCTGCTTGGCTTGCCAAAGCAGTTGCAGCAGATGTTGGCAGTAGATTTCAAGGTAGTCATTTCTAGCAACACTAATTAAATGTTAATAAATATACGTATAAAAATCATTAACATTTTCTTTCACCATGTGATGTTGCAGTGCCTGTGTTCTTGTATGGTGCAGCACACCCAACAGGCAAGGCCCTAGACACCATCAGGCGGGAGCTTAATTACTACAGGCCCAACTTCATGGGCAACCAATGGGCAGGTTGGACAACGGCTGAAACTCTCCCTGTAAGGCCCAATGAGGGTCCCAACCAGGTGTCTCGGGCCAGAGGTATAGCGATGATTGGCGCTCGTCCATGGGTTGCATTTTACAATGTACCCATTATGTCCACGGACATCTCCCTTGCTCGTCGGATAGCCCGAATGGTGAGTGCCCGCGGAGGTGGGCTGCCAACGGTGCAAGCGCTGGGCTTGGCTCATGGTGAGGATTCCACCGAGATAGCTTGCATGCTCTTGGAGCCCAATCAGGTTGGAGCTGATAGGGTCCAAAGCCGGGTTGAGATGCTCGCAGCTAAAGAAGGGTTGGATGTAAAGAAGGGCTATTTTACTGATTTTTCACCAGAAATGATTGTTGAAAAATACCTGAATTTGATATCTGCTAACAGAGACTAATCAAACAAGTGTTTGAAAATTTGATCATAACTAGATGGCACGCCCGCACGTTGCACGGGTTTATTTATTATATTATTTTTATTTTATTATCGAATTTTTATATTTTAAGAAATTGTAAACGATTATTATTTCACAAAAAAATATGTCAAATATTGATTATAATATTATATTTTGTTATTGTTTTTTTTTTTTTTTAATCGGGTTTTTATGTTTAAAGATTGTTGAGAATCCTTATATGATTGCCATTTAGGATGTCGTTAATTTGTCCATATGTTTGCTGCTTATTGGTGTTGATAAAATAGGGATGATTCACATGCATTCAATTAATGTATGCGGTACAGATCTTTCACATTCCTTTTTTAATTTGATAAAATGCAAGTGATGGAATATTGAAATGGTCAGTTTGGAATTCAGCAGGAATTGAATTAATTGAATTCTATACATAGAAGTTGAAAGTCTCGCAACTTATGAAAGTGGTTTTGACACAAATAAATTAATTAATTGAAGAACGAAATAATACTGTAACATTTTAGTGATAGGAATATATTCCCTTTTCAAAGCAAAAGAAGAGTTGCAACACTTTTCTTACAATAATTTGGTACATAATAATATAATTGAAATGACAATTTTGCCCTTCTTAAAATTAGTAGTTCCTGCATGGAATATAACCATTGCTTTGAGGTCCAAGAGTTAATCTTTCACCATTTTAAAAGGCTGTCAAGCATTATGAAATGAGCAAAAATAAAATAAAATAAAACTTGTCATCCTTCATCATCCAACACAAATTCTATTCGCCACAAAACACAAACTATTACTGGCTATAGAGTCCACAACAAAAACATGTATAATCTATCTAAGAATTTAAGTTTGCAACTTTTTGATAATAAAATATGCTTCATTGATAAACACTTTGTAATATAACATTGTTTATAAGACACAAAAAAACAAAATAAATGGACAATATATATATATATAAATGGTTCATACTGTGGCGCACATACTGTGTCTGCGCCAAAAAAGAAGTGTTTATTAAATTATTCCGAATGTCACCCCTATCAATGCTCATTGTGACCATCACTACCAAAGGTTGGCTGCATAATAAAAGAATCAAAACTAAATCAATTAACGTTCAGAAATAAATCAGTAATAATATGAAATTTCATAAACAAACAATAGTTTAAAGTAAGCACCTGTGAGTGGGGCAATGGCTGGCTACACTTGGAATGACCAATTCCGGTTGCTCAACAGGTGGTGTATAGGTTGTTGTTGTAGGTGGAACAACTCTTAGTCAAGCATAGAGAGAAAGATGGGAACTGTAGTTCCAAGCTCTATGAATATATCAAAAACTGATAATGAAACAGGTATCATTGATTCTCCAAAGA